TATATTCTAGATGCTACCAACTGTTATCTAACACTGAAAGGTTTGTCCAGGTGAATATTGCATAAATCTTAATCAAGAGGAACATTAGTGTAAACCACTCAAGCAGAACCTGTGTAGTGAACTTATTGATACATCTTCAGTGTATGGGGTCATCATAATGCCAGCAAGGTGTGTTGTCTTAATATCTTAAGTGTTTCTGTATTTTGGATCACCAGCTGTTTGGTAGTATAAGTTTACCTGACATGTTGTGCAGGTGCTTTGCCAATCTTTCAGGTAAAGTAGTCCTGTTTTATCAATGTTAAGAGACCACCTAATAGAGGTGTCCATTAGTTGGAATTGTTTAATGGCAAAGATGAGTTTATTTGGTAATCTGGGATCTCTCTGCTGTAAATATCTTCACCTCAAGGAAAAGGCTTGTGTATAGTAGGTTTCTCATTACATTAAGGAAGTTCATTTTTTTGTGGGCTCATCATATTGTCAGAGTATTGTGAAACTTAGTTCAAGAATCAATAAGCTACATGTGCCAGAATATATCTACATATTTTTTCTTCCCTACAAGAGAAGCTACTGATAAGGGGAGAGAGTGAGAGATTACAGAGAGAGATGGTTGGGTATGCTGTGCAAGTTAAAAGACTGGGATTTTGAAGTTGGCAGTCTCTGATGTTGGTGTCTTTTCTTCTCAACATGCTGTGGGAAATGGAGCAGCAGGTTTGAGGACTAATTGAAAACTTTATCCAATGACAAGAAAATAAACATGCAGTGCACACAGTATCTCCGTGATGTCTTTTCAAAGCAGTTCCCTCATGTTAGTACAATTTTTACACCTTCTTTTGGATAATATTATTCTAGTCATGACACTGTTCAAAAGACTGATATTTTTATTTTTTGTAGGTTGATACCTTTGGCCTATAAACCTTAGTTCTCTTTTGCTTGGGTCTGTGCTCCAAGCTATTCTGTACAAAAGACGAGTAATACAGCAGGTATAGGGGATTGAGATTAACAAAAACAGGCTTAGTTTGGTGAGAATTTTGAGAGTTTTCTAATTGTTTGCTTAAATAATGTAAATTCTGTGTTAAATATTTGTAATATATTCGGTCAATAATGCTTTTAATAGCCTTTTCAAATACAGGTGAAAGTTTTAAATTCCAGACCATAGGAAGTGTGAAGGCATTAATGTGTTGTAAGAAGTTTATACGGGGGCACTTTGAAATTGAAAACTTGCTTTCATATCTCAATTTTTTATGACAGGCTTACTTTATACAACATTGTTTGCACCTATCAGGTTGGTTGCTGGGCAAATGCTTAAGTATGTTTTTCTCTGTTAGATTTTGCATTGGTTAAACAGTTCAGAGCTTTCTTTCTTTCACTTTAGGGCTTGTTCTATGGGTGAGTACTTCATGTAGCATATGACAAAATCATGTTCCTGGCACCACAGTATGAACAAGTCAAACAAAATTGTGGATAATACAAACATAGGCCTTGGACTTAGTAATTCCACTTATATATTTGATATAGGGAACACTGATGGCCAAGTCAACATGCCAATAGTGGGTGGAGGAGCCTGCTCTTGGGTTTATTCTGGTAATCTAGGACTATACTCTCAGGGCTTTGTTGAAATCGGCTGTAGTTGAGCATATCTCTCAAGTGCAGTTTAAACACTCTACCACTGTGAAAAGTCAACATTTGGAGGGTTGACAAAGGGTGAACCTGGCCAAGTACTGACGCAACCATTTCTATCTTAATTTGATCAAAAGAGAAAAGCATACACACCAAAAGTGTGGACATTACATTTATGTTGGCCTTTCCCTCCCAGCTCTCCTTATTATCAGGTCACCCTGGAAGATGGACATATTTGTTTTTAGTCCAGGTCTGTGCAACTACAAATCCTTAGCTTGTGCATGCACTGTACATACTGCATGCAAAGTTGTGCTCAGGTCCATTCTGATCATAGACAACCCATTTACTTGTGTCAGCATTATTTCTAGCTATTAATTTTTCTAGTGATTGAGAACATATTTCAATCTGACCACATCTTTAGTTGAAAGGGTGATGTGGAAGCCTTTCTTACTTTTTTTTCATAATTAGATAGAGTTTTTTTATTTGTTTGTTTTTTTCTTTTGTTTACCCTCTTTGGTAATCTTTCTTTCACTTTCTTTCTTTCACTTTCTTAATAGAGTAAAGAATCACCTGACCAGGAAAACCAAACCACCACTGCAGCTGTGACTCCTCAGCATGAGCAGTCTAATTATATATGACTGCCTGATAAAAAAGGATTAGTGTCCTTAAGATGAGGCAGTTGTAGAGAAAAAACACTGATGTTGTGTGGATTTTTCAGACAATGTTTTAAGTCTACCTGTAGTGTTTTACCTGCTTTGAACTTGTCGACCAAACTTTTTTTATTGCTTTTTTCAGTCATGTTCAATACTTGGTTAAAACATTTTTTTTTTATTCAATCACATTAAGTAATCTGCCTTGAATGGATAAAGGTACAAATACAGTCATCTTTCAAGATTTATCTTTGAAGAGTCTATAATATTGAGTCAGCAGTTTAAAAGTATCTTTAAGAAATTCTTTTGCACCTTGTGTGTTTCATAGCTCATTTTTTCACTGTCTCACCTATAATTTAAGATTTTAAAAATGTGTCATTTTAAACAATTGCTACCAATAACAGGTATTACTTAAATAATAACAGTTGTAAATTCCAAAACATCTACCTGAACTTCCCATGAATGAGTCATGGGTTAAAGTAGCTTTGTGATTTTGTTTGTGCTAAACATTACCACACAATAAATGAGAACTTATTCAGCAGAAATGGTTTGGAGAAGGTTGTTTTCAGAACTTTAAAGTTGTGCATTCCATAATGATGATGCATAAAAATATTTCCTAGTTTGACATTGGAGTTGTTTAAGTTATAAGTGATTTTGTTCTTAAATTTCAAGTCATGTTAGTAGTTACGGAGTTGAAATGCATGGATTCACACACTGTCAGGTAATCATTTGTAGTCTGTATTTTTCAAATTTTCTTTTATAATGATTAAGTTTTATTTAAAATTGACTATAAATTGTACTTCAAAGCTTCAGAGGGTTGGTTGAATGTACAGAATATGCAATAGACCAAGAAAAACAATGTCCCAAGATGTAGTTTACCATTTCGATCAGCTCAAATTAGGTAAAATGAAATCAATGGCACAAAAAAGCATTGACTTCCATTTTCTGGGGGAAGAAATGAAATTAATGAAACATTATCTGTCAGTCTCCCCCTTTTAAATTGTGTTTTACAATGCTTTATGGCATGAATTATAGTTGGAGGGAGGGTGGTCCAGCTTTAGTTATTTTGTGGTCAGTATATGGGCTTCCTACATTTTCTTTTGACACCAAGCCTGTTGCTTTTTTTCATTCATTAACTTTGGTATAAATCACCCAGCTCCTGTAGATTATCCCAGCAGTAGAGGAATCAGCAGCCTCTTCTACCATAGTTTGTCTTCACAAGGGTGGAAAAAAGTGGCAGATGTTTTCAACTTGTTGAAGGAGCAGTGACACCATGCTTGAGTGTCTGGTGGTTAATAAAAGGATTGAATTCCTCCAGAATTGATCAGGTACTCCTTCAAAGGTTGCTGAGGAGCTGGCTGTTATTCTTACACATATTTAGCGAATAAGGATTATTGAATCATGCCCATGGATGTTTTGTGTCGGCACTATTTGTTTGTGCAGGGCTTTGTTTCCGCCTACCTCTGATCGCCCCACCTTGGGATTAGTAGGTTAAGCTGGTAGGATAGGGGTCATTGTGTTTTCACTGGTAGATGTTAGTAATTGACACCAGTAGTGCTTGTGATACTTACTGTAGGACTTGAACGGCTGGAGGTGTGCAGGCAGGCAACATGGAAAGGAGAACTTAACTCACAAAGAAGTAGATGGAAAGTAAGACTTTAACCCAATTGTTTTTCTCTGTAAATGAATTTGTATTGAATATGGATAATTAACTGCCAGCAGTGTCCTCTGCCATTTCAAGCTTAAAGTAACTTCTGTAAAGTTGGATAGTCACAGACATTGGGTAGAACATGTGACACACTGACCTGGTATCCTGTATTTAAAAAAAGCGATTATTTACAGTTAAAATGTTTGTGTCATTAATGCTTTGCACATGAACTAACAAATTTTAAGGTTTGAACCAAAATTACAAGCTAAATAGGATAAGTGAGAGTCAGTTATCTGTTTTGAGAAAGATTCCCCATCTTACTATGGACTGATATGATCTGGACATTGATAGGGAAGCTTTGATCTGTTTGGTATTGGGTCCTGAGTGAAATGATAACCTTATGTCATTTGTATTTAGTAACTATGCTGGGCTTGGTGGTGTCACAAAGTCAAGGGGACTTATGGATTTGTTAAGTCATTCTTGTATACTGGTGTTTCTTTTATCAGCTAGAGCTTGATTGACCACCATATAGTAAGTTATATGTTATGTCATCATTGTAATGGACATAATGTGTTCAGATAAATCTGGAGCCATGGTATTGATATATTGAACTCAAGGCTTTAGGTTGTGTATTTCAGTTGTTGCCTTGTTAAATAATCACAAATGGTGTTGGAAATGTACATTGGATTATGAAGGACACTTCAGAGTCTGCTACGGACACCTGATAAAAGGCCCTGACAGCTCACAAAGCTGTGTGTATTGGATCAGATAGAAGAGATTTGGGAGTTGAAAGCCTGTGGGGATTTTCACAATGCTGTGCAGGGCTTATGTTTTGATTGGGGCTATTGCATGTTAACAAGGTAATGTTTCACTATTATTGGACATTGTGCGCCTGGATCGGGTTGTTTTACAAAGTGCAGTACCGCGAGGCTGGGGCACAAAGCACCACATCAGAACTCAATGAAGTTGCTGGTAGTTCAGACAATATGAATGTTTGGTGCAATTATTGCATTGAACAACTTCTGGAATAATATTTTCCCAATGTTTCTGCTCAAGCTATTGTATGTTTGTTTCTTATCTTGCAGCCATGGTATAGAAAGAAGAGACTATGGCCCAAGACACAGCAGTGACTAGTACAGACATTTTGTTTCCTGAGGAAAACGAGCCATCAACCTCATATCTGGAAGACACATTTTATTCCCCACCGTCAAGCTACTCAGCCTATTCCACCTATTCTCATGAACTAAAGTTTATGTTTGGAAGCAGGTCATCTACACCTGAGGAACCAGACAACCAGGACTATACAGACGTAACCACAATCACAGAGCGAAAGAAAAAACGCTCAGCCAAAAATCAAAATCGTTTTGTCACAGAGGATTACTTCAAACCACCATTAAATGACACAAAACCAGACAGTTATCCCAATTTTCACCAAAGCTTCCATATAGACTACTATACCAAAGGCACCTCTCAGAAGTCAAACCAAAGGACATGGTCACCTCAGCCTCACAATATGGGTGTAGGCAGTAGTTTCCAGGCCCCAGTGCCAAAGCGTAATTACCGTAGTAACGAACAGTTAGACAATCTAGATGACCATCATGGACACATCTATGAAGATCTTCCTGACCACCCACCACATCCTCCAAAGATCACTCCATACAGTGGATTTCTCAGCCAGGTAAATGTTGGAATATGTTGTATATTTTGTTATATAGTATGCATGGGTGAATGTAAAAAATGAAAGAAAAAAGGAATGAAATACATAATATGTGAGGGTTCAGATTGCAGCAGGTGTGTTTGCAGGTATGTGCACTTGTGCATTTGACAGCTTGCTCTTCCACCACCAACTGCTTTGTGTGATTCACTATGTAGATGGTTTTAAAGGGTATTACATTTTTATGGTGCTTTTTGGTTTAGGCTGAAAAGTTTACTGCTGAGAAGAATAGAGGATTTTTTCTTTGTTAATGTAAAAAACCTAGTTAAAAAAAATTTTCCTATGAGTTATAAATTGCTGTGATCATATGGAGAGATAATAGATAGCTGACTGCAGTTAATCAAATTAGGATTGGGTTGTAAATATTAAACACATAACATACAGATTAGTGTATCAGGTATGGCAAACAAATGTTTGTGAAAAAATGTTTCCATCAGGCTGAGGGCAGAGCGGCAGAAATTTATTATCTCACCTGCCTGTGCATAAATCAGGTGAAATATAACGCCCTGCCACGGAAATATCAAGTTTTCTCCTAAAATCTTTATATCTTCTCTTACATTTTTATTGCTGTAGCCATGAAATAGGGCAATTTGAAATAATTTTTGTAATGTGAGGAATGACTAAGGTTGAATAAGAGGGAGGAAAAAAGTGAATATGAAAATAAAACGGTAACATCTAAGTTACGTATAATAGTAACTTGGTTACCTCAACACAACAATTAGGACCTCAGGGAAATTAATATTAAAAGGGAACTTATCTGCCCCCTTTGCAATAATAAACTATAGATAAATTAATAATAGAAAGGGTATGAAATAACTATACTGACTGCTTAAATCATGTTGCAGGATATAGAAGGAATGCCCTCCTCCTAGAAATTACCAAGGCTCACTAATTTTTCACTGTGGCAGACACAATAGAATGCAATTACGATTAAAGATAGGTTGTATTCCCCAGTACAATGCAGGTGTCCTTATTTGTCAATAGATCACTGATTAGTATTTCCTTTGCTCCCCACCTGACAAAAAGTTTCTTGTTTTAGTCAGTGCACAGGGTTGGAGATAGGAAGATAGATAATAGAGTTGTTCTGACGACTAGTAGTGGATCGCATTCAAAGAGGATAGTTTAGCATTCAGCTGTGTATCTGATAGCTTATCGTCTGACTCTGACTGGGTAGTGTAGTATGGCGAGTATGCTTTCATTGCCAGCATGGGACTGCACCAAAGCACAAACCATCATGTTTTGTTGGTGAATGCATCAGGTCAGGTTTTCCAATGCATTCTAAGATTTTTAATGGGCAGTTTGTTTCTGCTTTGAAAAGGTGTTTACTGGTTCAATAGGGGCAAAAGTAGATCACCTTTGACCTGTGTTATAGAAAGTTGGACAGAAGTGACCAGAATACATATATTTATTCTGGTCAAGCCAAAGGCCGTTACCAATGAATCCACCTACAGGGAAGGCAGAGCTGCAACATGACACAGCCATACACAAGGCAGCTAAGGTAGGAGCAATGCAAACAGTAAGGTTTGTTTATGTCTGTACAGCCAGTTTGCATGTTCAATGATCCATGTGGTGTTGGGATTGTTCTGCATTGTTTGCCACATTAAAAGGGTTGGTTGCCATTGCTTTTCTGGAGCTGACCAAGTTGAATACATCCCACAGTTACTTCTGTATGGGTGCACACTCCACACACAGACCCCACTCCTTAATACTTTGCTTGCTATTGACTATTGAGTGAAAGGCAGAGGGTTTTCTATTGCCTCTTTCTTCATGATCCATGAGGCACATTTCCTATCTATAGGTTAGGTAAACATCAATTGTGAAATATTGTACTTACAGAAAATATATCCAAATATAGGCAGGGAAAAACAAATTTATCATAAAATCAAAAATTGCACGCCCCTGATTAAATCCAAACTTTCTGAAAAGAAAGTGGCAAAAACTCCAGTACCAACTGAATGATAAAGTCAGTCAACAGCCATGGTTTGTTAGGCCAGTAAACAGCACCATGTTCACCAGCTAGGTGTGCTGGGACAATCAAAATAAACACCGGCAAGACACCTATATATTTGTGGAAGCAATGCCTATTTCCTACGGGTAAAAAACATAAACAGCCTTTCTTACAGGGGCATTTTGTGATTGTACAAGGGGTTTCTGTACAACCCTGGTGTAAATGAACAGATGTGTTGGCACACAAGGGGTGGAATGAAATCAATTTACTATAATGAATAGAATATAAAAGGCAGTAGGGTAGGATGACAGTTGCACTTAATCATCCCCATATTAAAATCACACTACCTGCTGCTGGCTAACTCATTTACAGTCTATGCAGATTGTGATGTCATGGACTGTGCAAACTACATTCACCTGGCAGTAGATTCAGTATTGACTCCAAGCTATTAGGACAAAGTCCATTTGTGCTCTATATCATTGTTGGTTGTGAGGAAGGACATCAGTGATGGTTTGGGTGAAGGTTTGTTATATTTCTGATAAGTTCATGTGAAGAATGCTAGTCGGTGGTTTCTGCAATTTAAGCTATTTTTCATATAGTAGGATTTCCTGCAGGAATAATTTATCAGCGTGTTGTGTCTCATAAATCTTTTGTTTTGTCGAGTTTTCCATGGATTAAGTCAGAGTTTGATGTGTTTTGCAGGTGCCAGGGAAGGTAGTGATACGACCAATTGCGTTTAAACCAGTGGTGCCAGCTCAGCAGCGTTATGTCTCCCCATCACAGACAGCTTCTCGTGACAGCAAAATTCCCAGTCAAACCAGCCAAGATGATGGCTATGGTTCTCAGGATTATCAGTCTACAAATCCTTCCCAGAATTCTTTTGGAATGGAGATGGATCGCTCTATTGGAGGAGGAAGCACAGACTATCCAAAATTACCTGAAAGGCCTTCATCATTTGCCTCGTCAAATGTAAGCCATCTGTCCTCTACTCATAGAGGGAGTTACCCTCAGCAGACACCTTCTCCAAGCGACAGTGGTGTAGGAGAACTGGAAGTCATGTTACGTGAAAAAGACACTGAAATATCCCACCTTCGTGAAACAATGGAGCACAATGAGAGGGTTATCTTCCAAGTTTATGAAGAAAAGCAACTATCGTGGCATATGGAAATGAAAGATATGAGGGAAGAATATCAGAGGAGACAAAAAGTTCAGCAGCAGAGAATGTTCAAAATGGAACAGTCTCTCATGCTGCAAGTCTATAAACTTCAGCAAGAAAAGAAGGCTATGATTGAAGAAAATGAAAACCTTCTCAGAGACAAAAAAGCAGCAGAAAAAAGGTTGGAGATATGTGAAGAAGACCTCAAAAGTTTTAAAACCCAACAGGATGAGGCTAAATGGGAAATTTGTCAAAAGTCTGGAGAGATATCTTTGTTAAAGCAGCAACTTAAAGAAATCAAAGAAGAGTCAGGGTCAAAAACTAATGAAACCCTGACCTTGAAGGCACAACTCAAAGAACAACACCATGAACTAATGGATAAGAATAAACTTATTGAAAAACTCAAGGATGATCTCAGTGAAGTACAGATGGAATTACAGGGAGTAAAAGCAGACTTGGAAGTCATGAAGAGAGAAAGAAGAAAAGACATAAAAGAAACCTCAATTCAAACTGAACAAAGAGAAAATAATAAAGTTAACGATCGGGAGAAACAGTCCTGTCAAGAAATGGAGCATTTAAGATTGGAGCTACAAAAGTCAAAAAAACTTTTGGATGAATCAAGAGAACAAATGGAGAATGAAAAGCACCAGTGGTTTGCTGAAAAAGACAAGGTTGTTAGATATCAGAAACAACTACAGCTGAACTATGTACAGATGTATAGAAAAAATCGCATGTTAGAGTCTGAAATTGAACAGTTGACTCTAGAGCTTGAGAACAGAGATATGAAGATGATTGGTGCCAATGATGAGTCAGTGTGTTGAATGTGACCAGACAGTAGCCAGTTTATTACTAGTGGCTCTTGTGGTATTCACACCCTTTTCAGTCTGCATGCTTGCAAATAACAGAAGTGAATAGTCTGGCCATGAGCTACAAAAAATTTTTATTACAGACAGATGTATTTTTAGGTGTGGCCAGGGTTTTAGTCCTTCACTGTGGTGCAGTTGCATTGATGCCAATGTGGAAACTTTCTTGAAAGACATAGCCAGTTTTACAAAGAGAGAATTGGTTTGACATTCCTTGTAATAGTAATATGGTATATCTGTAATCACCAAAATATTGGTGTTTTTTACCTTTTTTCTGACTTTGAAATTCTAAAGTTCAGATGAATAAAAAGAAAAATTGGTTATGCATCTGACTACCTCACAGGAAAATGGAACGTGTAAATCGAATCTTTTAAATATGTTTCCAACTAGTGTGAATGTGTGGTTCTGAATCTGACCTATGTTATTGTGTTCTAATACTACTGCTGTGCACATGAGAGCAATTAAGTGCCAATTTGTACAGTTAAAACCTTATACAGATTCTTCAAATGATATAGTATGCTGCCAGTCAGATGCACTGATATTGGACTTCTGTTAGCTTTGATAACCTGTGTAGTGTGCGTATATGTACATAATATATTTTGTAATTTTATTGTTACCTACATCAGCACCTGTTACTGTTTTAAGCAAGGCAAATGCTTTAATTACAACAAAAGAATCAGTGACTTAGAGATCTGTCTGCAGAAAATATAATAGAATTAAAATACTCTGCATGAATCGACCTGGAAGAAAGATGCAGGCTCTCAAAAGAGTAAATATGATGAAAATCTATGATTGACCTGGGCTGAAAAGTACCGCCAAAAATCAGATGGTGCTTTTAGTCCACATATGCTGTTTTAAAGTTAATTACACAAATAAGTGTAGGTTTATTTATTTAACTTGTTTGTAAATGATGACTCAATATTTATATGACTATTCCTAATCTTATCTATTTAGCCTGCAAAAATTTGTTTGTTCCTGCAGATAAGACTTTTTAATCTTTTACAAGATTGTCTTGTAATATTTATAAGTTGTTATTTCACACCTATGTTTACCAAAGGTTAAAGTTTATTTGAGTAGATTTTTCAGAGTGCTTTTTGCTGGTACAGGTAATAAGTGAACAATATATTGAGTTAGCAACAGAACGTACTGAGGCAGTATATCAAAAGTTTTGTTTGTACTTTATATAAACAACTTTTCAAACTAATATGTTCAGTCATGCATCTTTTAATTTAGACTACATCCAACTCATGACTGTTTTTCATCCGTGAAATCAAGCATAGAAATCTTGCTGATATTACTTCTGTAGCTGTATGCTACATGATCTGCCAATGTATACTAAAAATTATATAACGCAATAACTAACATTTAGAAGTAAAGCTCATGTGGACATTGTTAGTAAATTTAAGTTGGGTCAAGCAAGTTTGTGTAAGCTGTAACCCAAGTAGAGGCAAGCTGTTGTTTGCATCTGAGAAAAGATTTCAATAGTTTGGCTTAATGCTACTGTAACCTGAGACCTTCATAAACTTGTTTAAGAAAATAAATATGTTTTACATTGTATGCTGCTTTCTTGGATTTTAATTAGATTGACCATCACTAATATCTTGTAGCCTGCGATTGTGTATAGACTTGACCAATCTAAAGTCACTGAGAGCATTAAAACATGCACTTGTCATGTGAGGAATGGCACCACTGGTTCCAATCTCTTCAGACGTACGCTTGAGAATATTGCATTAGGTGTTCTGTCACAATTGCCCTAGACTGTGCTCAGTACGTTTATCCACACGAAGTGCCACATAACACATTGTTGCATGCCAGCAATCCAGCTTTCTTTGGGCATTTACTGTCCAGAATTAAATCAACTAAAAAAAATATCATTTTCAAGATATTCTATTCATTAACTGCTCTGCAGTTTCATTTTACATTGAAATTCATATGACAATTACATATATCTCTACATAACTTTAAAACTATTTTAACCATTTCTACAAAGTTGATTTAAAGCGTTGCATTTTAGTTTCTTCAAAGTCACTCTGCCTTAGGTATAAATGTACAAAATTTTTCCCAATTTTGAAACACAGCCAGCTTTTCAAGTTAACTGGGCTCACCTTGGTGACTTAAAACAAAAGCTAAACATCTTCCAAATTAAGCAAGACAAATGTTAAATGTTTTATTATATTTTACCAAATTCATCATTGCTAAATTTGTTCTAATTTCCCATTTTGCTAAAATTATCACCTTATTTGACTAGAAGCAACTTCACCCCAGGGTAAGCCCAGACTATGTACAGTATGTTGTTATTTTATTTGAGTAAAGATCCAGCAGCAATTTTCCAATGTAGTTTCCTTGTCATGCTTCTCAATCTATTAGGTACCTGATCCAGGAAATTTTTTTTATTATTATTAGTTTGGATATTGAGTGACAATGCAAGAACAAAAGCTGACAGAGAAGGACCCATTAACTAACATCAAAGCACACAAAGTACATTTTATATGACTAGCACACAGCTCCTATAACAATTACATATAAAAGTACAGTTTCTTGTGTCAGAAATCTGTCAAATGTTCTTGTCTGACAAATTTCAACAAAGACATACTTTCTTTTCAATTAGGTTTAAAATGTCCATATTTCGATGTTAGGGATCTTGATATATAATTCCAATATTCTTTCCTAATAGTGTCATACTCTGTTGCCAGGGATTCACACATCTGGAAAAAGAACAAATAACATATATTCACTGTGGGCTGTTCTCATCACCTTGAAGTATTTTAATAAAACTGGTTAATCAGCACTTTTTCAGAAAAAAAAATGGTAAACTAAAATGTACTGGTATTACAATATCATAACTGGTTTTATTCATTCAAACCAAAAATATATATAACTACAAGAGCAATTACCTTTAATGCTTGGTTCAAAGCAGCTTGTTTGTCATCCTTTTTAAGTTCTAACATGTTCTCATAGCAGTCAATCATGAATGCTAATAAATGAGGAGAGCGGATATTTTCCTGATACAACTTGTGGCAGAATTCCATTAGTCCTGGATATTGGCTTATTTCTTTATCAGCCAATATTCTATTAATACAAAAATAGTAGCCTTTAAATGATATCAGTTGAAAACAATGGGTAGTTAAGGCATTCAAGCAATGACCTATTTTAGCAACATTCCAGTAACATATAATAGAGACTCACTATCCAAAAATCAACAAGACAATTGCAATTACAATACTCATCAATGAGACCTTCTTTCCCCCTCCTCCACAAAACTGACATAATAAGTTTCTAATGTTAATAGCATTGCTTATCCTTTGCATAAATGTAAGCAGAAAACCACCAACTATCCAAAATTGAGCAATTATGTGCTGCTAGTGAGGCAATGTAAAAATAATAAACATAAGAAACATTTTTCTGTCATTTAAATCTTTAAAAAAATAATAATAATAATAATAATAAATAAATATATAAAAAAACTTACCCCCTAAGGTAATTCCATGCACTTTCATTATTAGGTGCTTGTTTAATCATATCTCTTGTAAAACTAAAAAGATAATTGGACACTGTAAGACACAATTTACTTCAACACATCTGTTAAACAATGACGGTGTGATAAATCAATAGCAGTAAACATTATTTACATCCATTCTTTCATCTGGATATCTTTCCCAAGCAAATAAACACAAAAAATTTGAACCTGCCATCTGGGCTTGCTAACTCAAAAGCATCACAAATTGTGACACAAAATGCAAACATTGTGATCGATCACTATTTGAGATGGCAATTGCACCCCCCTGCTAACACAATGTCTTAGCAATTGCAATGCAATATTTCGAGACCAATTATAGCCTTAAGCAGGACTAAACTTGGACTGTCGCATTAAGTGAAGAAGTCATATCACAATTACACATATTGTACTTTAATTTGATTATATAGCTAATCAAGAGACTATTTTACTTTGTAGAAATATCATGAATACAAATACTGATATTTGAAGTGTTTGATGCCAATAAAGTGTCAAAACAATTCCATAAGTGAAGTCCACATATTATTATGGACTAAGACTATTACTGATACACTGATGAGCAGTGCAGGAAGGACATGTTGTGACCGAATGCCTTGTTTCTGTTTTTTCATTTTGTGTAGAAAGTGAAATGTTCAAACTTATGATTATTATCAATAGACTTCACAGATGTTTTTTCATTAGAAAATACCAAATAATATATGAATTGTTTAATTTTGAAATTTCTATGCATAATAAAACATGACTTTATAAAATGTTCAATAAATTTTTTGGGTTCTTTGATGAAATAATATTCTATCTATATACTGGGGTACATAGCATTCTTTATGTGAAATTTACTGCAAGTTTTTTTTTATCAGAGGAACTGAGTGACTCAATCTTTTATATAAGTTTCCGTGTTTTGATTTATATATGCTACTATGACTAATAACCAAAACTTGCAGTCATTTTTAATTACATTAAAGACACTGTGAAATCACAAGTTATACATATATACAAATGCAATTGCAACAGGATTTACACATCGCAAATAAAAGCCTCGAAACAAGCGGTGGTATAACTATTAGCGCTCGGTCACAAATTGTGATGCCTTTAGTTAGTGACAGATCGCCGTGTTTGAGTGTAGTTGCAATTTGCGATGCTTTCATGTTATCCGAGCCCTGGTTTTAATTCTGCATATAATGAACAACTATATAACTTACTGCACTTCTCTCAGTAAGACATCATCTGTTAATGTTGGGGTTCCTGTAATAACAAAATATCTCTGGTTCCAGGCAGAGTTATTCCTTAGGTCTTGCCTCAATAACGCATCTGTGAATTCTAATTCACCATCCCACAATTTGAATTCCTTTATAACCCACTGTCTGAAAATGCAGAAGAACAATTTTACATCTGAGCTAATAAATCTGAATCTTACCAGCTTGAAAGCTTACTACAGTTTGCTTTAGTGGACGTGGCACACTATACATATCACAGCAAGGCAAGACCATCAGAGCTCAATTGAAAAAAACAACAAACAAACAAACATGAACTTGAAAGGTTTCAGTACATTAAGTAGGGTATCATTTCATTAGACAAAGTTAAAAATCAGAAAATATGTTAGCTTTTCAGGTTAGACTATTTTAAGCAACTTACTGTCATATTTGGAAAAATTGGAATATTTCTATAACTGCATTGTTTTCTATTAAATAAAGTGACATAGGGCTACAAAATTACAATTTAATATGAAGAATACTAAACATTTTTGACAAAGATGTCAAATTTCTATTTTATTTCAGCTGGTGCTCATAAATAGTTATAACCATAAACTAAGCTTAAAAACAACTATTTATAATTTAGAAAATGTATGGTACCTGTGCTGCCATGCATGGTAATTCTTTGCGTCCTCTTCCAGTATATTAGCTGTGAAATCTATTTCCTTTGAGGCATCCCCAAGCATTTCAACAATAACTCGTCTATGGTGCCTAAAAAGTTACACCTTACCCTTTACTATCAAGCAGTTTCATCAATTAAAAAGAAATTGCATTAGTGTTGATGAGGTGATATCAACCAAATTTGTTATCACAACTTTGTTACGTTAAAAGTGCTTTCTATGGTTACTACATTTTACTGTATTTTGTAATGATATCTAGGCTTTCACTGTCATATAAAGATTTTGTCATTTTCTGAAACAAATTTGCACTGGCTACAGAAGATAAAAGTCAAACATATGGTATTTAATTTTCTTTTATGAAAATTTTTAAGCTAATGCACGGATGATATGCTGAAGAAGGTTGATTATTGAAAACAAATTACGTGTTAGTTTGGCCTCACGAGATGTGCTCCTACAGTGCACACTTGTTTTATAACAAAATACAGATTGTAACAAATATCCACATACTCACCAAACCTGATAGTTTTTAGGATGGTTTTCTATTACATCAGATATATACATAAGTTCATCATTAAGATCCAACTTTAACTCCTTGATAAGATTTCTTCTGTGATGCCTGTAAATGAAACTTTTCCAATAAACATTGCAAAATTGGGTAACTTACTAAACATTGTCTACATCTTTACCCTGAGAGGGGCCTACTTTAAAAACTGTATTTTTTTTATTTATTTTTTTTTACAAATAAGAAAAGACAAAAGTTTACTACTAAACTGACCAACTAATTTCAAAATGTGACAGTGTATTTCAATAGTATACATAGTAAACCTGTGATTGAGGAGGTGAAATGCATGATCCATGCTGCTCTGTACTTACCATACAGTGTAGTTTGCAGAATTGAGAGCTGCAGCATCTGTGTTCAGTTCAAAAGCTCGGTGGCTCATCTCATTTTTTTGTAATATTGCTCGAAAATAGTCATAAACATCAGTAACTGAAATAAAAAAGAAGAAAGATCAGTGCATACCTCAATAGAAGTTCCACTTCCTGGCAAGAATTAAAATTAACAGAAAATACATGTGGGCCTATTTTAATCTGTTATGCATATACCTTTAACTATAACTAGTCATCTTAATTTATTTCTTAATTATTTAACATACTTAGTCACAAGAATATAAATGGTCATTGACTTTGGGGTTTATAGCCCGAGATTAAGATATACCTCAGCCAGCAGACTGACTTTAGTGGCATGAAATTTAACAAAATCACGCATGCTTTCATTCTGGGCTTATTTACCGCTGCTAGATGATAGATCTAGTAATAATACTAGTACTACAGCTTGGTGTACAAGGTGTTGTGTCTTTGCATTTGTAGTTCCTGACTTACATTTGTCTGAATACGCTATGCGAACAACAGGATGTGGTCCATCATCTTGTGGAATGGGAGTGATATCCTTCCATTCCTCCCTGTCTTTGTAAAACACCCAGTCATCTCCACGATTGTCACAGCAGTCACCGTCTGCCATTGCTGGTTACACTGAGATCACGTGGGTTCTCGCGTTACTTCTAAAAAGGTGCGCTATTAATGAATAAAAAGGGCAAAAGTTAACATCATTGGATACAATAATTACTACCTGTTTTCTTAAGAGAAAAAGTAGTTACGTTGTTCGATTCTTATTGTAATACAAATGGCTGCAATAACCAATTTGGAAAGCGGAAGTATCTTGCTTGACATGCGCTATACGTGGTTCCGGTGAAAACAAACTTCGGAATGTGAAGCATGAATGACATAAAAAAGGAGAAATACTTGCCTGATCCGTGAGGAATAAGGACCAGAGATGTTTTCAAAGTTCACTACAATTTTCCATCAAGCTGTGGAAGTGGTATGTATGACGATACTTAGTGATCAAAACCAGCACTCCCGTGCAAATTTAACAGTTCCCCAAAACACTAAATTAATTTCAATTTCACAATTTTCAGTGAAATTTTCAGTTCTCAGTATCAGAAAATCTCAAGAGTTAAAGACGCAACGAGCAATAAAGTTCATTTCCGGAAACGCTGGCGTGATTCTTTGTCATTTTCCAATATATAATTTCCTTGACTTCTGAAATCATAAATATTTACGTTTTAGTAGCAGCATTAATATGTAATCAATTCTCTGTTGTATTTGACTCGAGTAATATCATTATTGTAAGTTAGTATGGTTAAAATGGTTATTAGTAAAGTTAAGGGACTGAAAGTAAATTGCTGCTTTCTCAGGTCAGAACGACCACATATTTACTCTTTCCTCACCCTTCTCCCTTTCTCACTGCTAAAAAGGCACAGGTTTACAACGAGAGAGCTATACATGAAGATCCATCAAAACTCATTACAATATCATGAATTACATATTTCAGAAAGCAATTTCAATCACTGCTATTTGAAAAAGTTTTGCTAGTTCTGGCATGACACAAATTCAGAATGTAGATACAAGTGTTTAAGCAGCCCAGTTGTACAGTTACTGAATAAGTTGAAAAAAAAAAAAAAAAAAAAAAAAAAAACAATCGGGTCCCTGTGAGTGAACTTTACTTTGAATATAATGAAGAAAATTGAATAAATTTGTAGTGTTTGTAGGATGATGTACTTATGCAACACTTTCATTTGAGAAAATGAGTTTTGAGTCTACAGAACAAGCTTGGTTTTTCTAAATAAAGTTACCCTGTTTTCTTGGACTAAAATTGCAGCTTGCCCCTACCCAACCTGTTCAAGGAGATTTTCTTTACCACTGGAAGGCCATAACAAACTATTACCTGGAAAGAAAAGGTAAAACATCATTAATTTTTTAATATACTGAAATGTTCTGAATTAGGAAAATATATTTATAAATATAAAATATATATGTAAAATGATCACAAGGTGTAGATGTTGTGAAAGAGTATCTAGACATGTTTGCACTTGCAATATAGGATAAGTATCATATATCCTTTTATACTCAGATATTGACATAAGTGCTTACATCTCAAACCTTTGACTTAAGGATCAAGGATTGCTTGTATATGTTCTGGACAAATAAAAGGTCATGTAATGATGTGTATACATGTATATGAAATAGCAAACCACTAAATTCTTTGTTTTAACACTGTCAGTAGTGTAGTCTATTCTGCATGCCTGTAAATGTATGTTATTACAGGGCTTGACACTAACTTTTATCGATACTGGCCCGAGATGTCAGTAAATATTGTAAGGGTTATTTGGCACATGACATTTTACTTGCTCTCTGGGCCAGTGACCCCAGCGATTCAATGGCCCTAGGTTGGATTTCAGTGGCCCAGGGCCAGTGGGCCACCCTTAATGTCGAGCCCTGGTTATCATTATTTATGATATATACATTGAAAGCATTTCTTTACATAAGTAAACTTGCCTTATAATATAATGCCTGACATTGATATAATTCTAATTTTGGTATGTTTTAGATGAGCGAGTATCTATAGAACAGACTAACATCCAATCACACCTTGACCAGATGCTGGAGACCCTGGTTCAGGAGGAGAAGAGCAGTGAGTCTGGGAGCACTGGGCCTTGTATGGAGTACATGCTGCAACACAAACTGCTGGAGACAATGTACACGTTGGGGAGATCAGATGTTAGTAATTGTGGCATTCTGGAACACTGAACTGTCATTTGCTCTCTTACAGTTATTCACATGCAACCAACACAACTGGTTTGAGACAAAATGCATAATAAGGAGATAAAATGTAATAAGTAAAACCATTCTGAACAAATATTGCTGCCTTACAATTATTCTTAAGATGACAACACTTACTGCTAAATACTGATATTTCACAAAGGCTCTATGCTAAAATGGATGTGCACTTGCTCACATCAAGCTAAATATTAAACATATGTCAGTGAGACGGGCATTTAAAATGTTATGAGTGGAAATATATATTCATTTTAAGATTGTGCAGTGTGATATTTCAATTTATCAATTGTGTCTTCCAGAGCCCTCCTGGAATGAAGCAGGCAGTACTGGTTTTCTTCACCAAACTGTTATCTTGGATTCGGCAGCCTCTCTTGCCTCATATCAATGTTTACAGGCCAGTCCATGTAAGTATATATGACAACCTGTAGCAGTTGCAACATTTAAAAATGACAACATTAATTCATTTCATGGAAAAGGGCATGACACAGGTAGAGCAAGTACACCAACTTTTTCAACCTCTGTCAATGAGCATATGGTCTTCTGTATCAATAGATAATGTGTCACTTATTTAGTGTGTTGACAACAAATATCCCTGTTAAAAATAGACCAGCTATTTTTCCTGGATCTGTGTAATCTTTTTTGTACATTTTCAGCGCTTGATTCATGTTTGTGGTGAAGTGTTGGCTGCTCCAACAGAAAATGAGGAAATCCAGTTTCTTCTTACAGTATGTGCCAAACTAAAAGCAGATCCTTATTTGGTCAATTTTTTCATTGAGGTAAGAGTGAGGATTTGGAGTTGTTTGAAATTATTCCACAAATATATATGATTTAACTGATAAAGGTACAATAACAGAAAAAGGAATTTTTTTAATGTCTACATTCAGTATGCTTTCATTTTGTTAAACCTTGCTAAAGTCTTGTATTTATATAGAGTCCAAAGAACATGAAATCACCCAAGACATCACAGTCAAAAGATCAGGAAAAACAAGGAGAGCCCAAAGTGAAAAATCCAGAATTCAGTCTCATTAAGTCTTTACTGGCTTTGATCAACAGTGCAGTAAGTGACTTGCTGTAAAAGGATTAATTTGATAAAATGTCAGCCAGCTGCAGTGATCATTAGATATTGCCACATGCATTTGATATAGCTAAATTAATTTTCTTAACAATAGTCCATTGCAAGGTTTGTTGTTGACATTGCAGTGTTCAAAGACATACTATTGTTAGATAAAATAACAGCTAAATTTTGAATGGAATGTTTAGTTATTTTTTTATTTCACATTTCATTTTTAAAAATCATATTTTTGATATAAAAATACTTTCTCAAAACAGGATGGTCGTGTATGTGTCAAATCCTGTGAAGGGTTATTACTATGTGCCAGTTTACCTGAGGACTACGCAGCCTGCTGCCTGATAGAACACACAGACTTCTGCAGAATCTTGTCTAGCAAACTTTGTACACTGTATACAAATATACCAAGGGCTCTAGATCCTGCAGATATAGAGCTGGCGGAGGCAAAGTGGGGGTAAATGATCATTTTGGTATATTGCATGCAAGCTTTGTGAATTATTAGTGTATAATAGTAAACATTATTAAGTAAATTTTAATCCAGTTTGACTTATTTGACAATCTTATTGCTTCTGCAAATGAGAAAGCATAGACAGAGGGAATGGATTTTATCTCAGAAAGCTTACAATGTTGGAGGCAATAATTTCCAGCTGTATCCCACTTGGTAACTTTCTACATGGTAAACTTAGTCAATGTATCTTGAGTCAAAATGCCCTTCCTTTTATGTTATTTTCTTTCAGAACTGAGAAGTATATTTATGTTTTTCACTCATTATACATTTTCAGACTTGACAGAGTAACAGAGAGTGATGACACTCAATCATTCCCAGGAAAAAGACAGTTGATATCTTTTCTGTCCTGGCTAGACTACTGTGATCAGTTGATATATGTAGCTCACCCTAAAACAGCAATCGCCATGTCCAATGCTATCATCAGTGCTTTCTTTGAAGGAGTTCTTTTGACTTCTATCCTGCAAACGTAAGTAATATTTGTATGTTAAGTCATACCTGTTGTATTTGTTATGATCTTAACAATGACATTAACCTCAGATACCTTAAAAGCAAAAAAAAAAATGTGTAGAAGATGAGATAAAAAAACGGTATTTTAAAATTAATATCAAAATATTAAGCCTCATTGTGTACGTGTTTTCAGTTGTGATAATTGCTCTGACACAATTATTTACTTAATGTTACTTAATGCAATTAATGAAACTTCTCACATGTTACATGCAATGTATANAAAAAAAAATGTGTAGAAGATGAGATAAAAAAAACAGTATTTTAAAATTAATATCAAAATATTGAGCCTCATTGTGTACGTGTTTTCAGTTGTGATAATTGCATTGACACAATTATTTACTTAATGTTACTTAATGCAATTAATGAAACTTCTCACATGCTACATGCTATGTACTTCACAATACACTGTGTCTACCAGGTGTGAGTCCACTGCCATTACTGCCACTGCCATGCTGACCAGGTGTCTCAGACTGGTCACTTCAAAGCCACTGTCCAGAGGTATGGGTAATAACTGTGAGGAGGAGTTGCATTAAATAGTCTGAAACTTGTTTATTTGAGTATTGACATATCACATCAGCAGTAGAACAGGCTTGTTGAAAGAATTTGGGAAAGGAGAATGGTCGCGTCCAATCTCAAACCAAGATTTTTGTTTTACCATGACTTGGGGAATCACTTAATTTTAGAGTAGCATATTACTATTTTTATTAGCTCAGTGAACCGATTTCCACTTTTATAATCAATCTTCATAATTGAATAAACTTTTCAGGTTTAGTTGAGTTTATCCTGGGCAGTGACAGGGAGCCAGAGTACCCACAGCAGGAGGGACATAAACTCCGACATAAACTTATTATGAGGTGCAATCATTTGTCTCAAGAGGTATGTTGTTGCAAATGTACTTGAAGACAACTTTAACAGTGTAAATGTGGTTATGACTTTTGCAAACTCGACTGTCAATGTATGTATTATTCCAAAGTAAAGAAAGTTAATTTGTTTAATGTGAAAATTCTTAACTTAACTCACAATAGAAATGGAAAGTCTAGTTTTAAACATGCAAAGCAAGTGATTTGTACAGTTGTTTGATGAGTGGCTTCTTTAGCAATTTATCGTACAGAGTAAGTGCTACTTTATTTCTTTCTAGATGAGTCTCGCTAATCTGAAGCTGTTTGAGACATTACTTGTAAAGCCAAATGAACATACCTTCCACAACCTGGTGCTTAGAAACCTCATTGGTAGGGATTATTGCAGTGAAGAAGATGGGGAGGAGGCCCAGATAGCTGGAGAAGAAATTATACAATCAAAAAGCCGAAGGACAATCTGTAGTGAAAGACACGATTGAGGACAATGATGTGCAAGGTAGTCATATCTTTAAAAAAAAAAAAATTGTTCAGCTGTTTTTCTATTAAAAAAACATTTTATGTCTTTTCCTATGTTTTACATTCTAACAAGGAGGCCATAAAAATGATTACCTGGTACATTAAGACTGTGTTCTTTAACCTCTAACCTAAACTCATGTTATTCTAGATAATGTAAATGGAGAGTCCAGTTCAGTGGCAACCTCAGATTCTGTCAGTTCCTGGAGTCCCAGTTGTAGTGTGACTAGTAGTCCTAGCAACAGTCCCAAGAAACCAGCAGTACATAAGATTGTAAACAGGTAGTGCTTTTGTTTGTTTCCTTGAACATAGCAATTCTCTCTTGTTTTATTGTGTTTACCAAATAATGATCATGGTTTATGCTGTACATAGAGTTGTAATGTAAATATTAAAATATTTGTCATGCACCCTGTGTTTAAGGCTAAATTCAGTTTTAGGATTCGTTTCTTATAACTGAATGAATTGAATTTTTGCTTTGGTAGAGACATTTGTTTTAGGCATCATTTGAATTGGCATTTACAGCTTTATCTCATGTGCAGAAAATTTTCATCAGGATTTATTTTCTATTTCAGTTTTTTATGCCTTCTCCCAGAAGATGTGAAGTCCTCATACCAGATGACTGACAGTGGATATGACACTTACCTCAGAGATGCACATGTGCAAGTAAGATAATTCTCTACAGTTATACTTGTCAGTGTACATTTTCAAAGTTAAGTGGATTAATACTCACTATTGTACATGATCAATATAATTGAAACTCAGCAAGAACACCTAAAAATTTTTACTTATAACTTTTTCAATACCGTTGGCATATGTTAAGATTGTCTGATATCTGTATTTCAGTTTGCTGATGTGTGTTCAGCATGTCAAGCCTGGGGTTGGCCCTCGTCTCCTACAGCTGAGCCAGAGTACAAGAGAGAGCAATTCTTTGAAGGAGCTTTCCTGAAAATGCTCTTTGATAAATTAAGCAGAATTCTAAGCCAAGTAAGAAAGATTCTGATGAGTTAGCCTTCTTGATTCAGTCAAGTGAAAATTGGAGCATGGAAATGTTTGTCCGTGCTTAGATTTTACATGAATGATGAAAATGCAATGAAAATAAGAGCACAGTTTATTTATGAGTACAAAATATTTAATTATTTGGGTAACTGTTATTAAAATACTCATATTCATTAGATCTTAATTATTCCATCCATAGTCATATGAAACCAACCTCCAGGTGACTTCAATCATTTCAAAGCTGGCCTTACTTCCCCATGGCAACCTCCATGAGTACTTGTTGTTCCCAGACCTACCTCTCAGTCCAGGGGCCAGGTCACTCTTTACCATATTTAGGAAGGTAAGGATGGAGGATTGAACAAACATACATTTGAATGATATAGTGCCAAAGTAGCAGTAGCACCACAGCAGTAGTAGTAGTAGTAGTATTTATATCAGAGAAGATATGCAATACTGGTGATATATAATGGTGATATATATAATAATTTTCTGTAACATAAAACCAAAAAGCATGCATTGTAATGTACACATAATTTGTAGTTAAATGTGAATTATTAATTTAATTTTTATTATAATTTTAAAACTATTAAACATTGCTTGGGGAAAATGTTTTTCACAATTATTTCCAGGTTGTTAATGACCTAGAAATACAGATCAAAGTTATCCCAGATTTGAGTGCTAAATTGATGACAATCAGACAACAGCTGGTAGGAGTTCTAGAAGAGCAAAGGAAGTAAGTTAAATGTTTTACATTAATGCCTTTTAATCTAAACGGAAAATTGCATGTTATCAGTTAAAAATTAATAAGCATGAAACCTGCATCTGCATGTTGAAGAATAGATAATTTAGAGTTTTGCCCTGAAATGTTCCTCAAAAACATTAAAGCTATGTATTACAAGGGTTGCATAATTGAGGTCGTGAGCTGATGTTGAAATCATCAGACTTTAATAATTATTATTATAAACTTTGTTTTGCCTCAGCATTTGGAAGAAATTGTTGAATTATAATTTACACCAGTTCATGGCATGTAGTATAATTTATGTAGTTTTCAATAGTAGACCTAAAGTTGCTGAAAATGAATGAATGAATTAATGCATTGTGTTTTTGCTATTTCTTTGCGCAAGGTATATCTTTAATTGTGGCAAAGGTGGAGGCAGTTTTCTTAGTGACATATGGTCAAGAGCTAATGTCTTTTATCTTATTGGATTGGTGATGTTAATATGAAGCATAAATGTGCTTTTTGTGAGCTGGTGGCTGCCTTGGCTTGCTGTCCCCATTCTGTCACTGCCAATGACTGTAGAACTTGATTAACCCTACGCCCATTAGATAAAGCTACTGTAAAAGGATCATGTTGAATAGTGTTCAGGGTGAATATTTCACTTTTAATTATTTATAAGAAAGGGTTCAGTTACTATAAGAAAAAAATTCAACTTTATTTTATGATGAAGCCAATATGTGTTTAAAGCATGCAAGGTAATTTGAAAAATAAAAAAGCCAGGACAAGATTATGAAAATGCATAGCCAATGAAAGCTAAAGCTAAAGAGCTTAAAAATTAAAACTGATATGCCTTAAAATGATCTTTTAAATTTCAATGACTATACACAAATTTCAAGCAACTTATTTTTAACAATATTTCATTTTATCGAGATTTGTAACTCAAGTCACAAAAATATGCCTTCTGACATGAGCCCAAATTTCTTTTCTTAACTTTCATATCATCTTCATCAGACAAAACATTGCTTTGGATAATAAAAGAATCATTTTCAAAAGCTAGTAATTAATTATTATAATTACAAGTTTGATCAAATTTAGCAGACTTCTCTGATGAATTTTTGTAGTATGTTGTAAATAGGTTGTGTTACTCCTCCCTTGTTCTTGGATGCTATAATTCTTTTGGGATTGTTTTTATGTATATCCTTTCCATTGTATCTTTACAAAGGTAGCCAAGGATATATGAATTGAACAAGATTTAAAAACCTGTCTCTCAGTAAATATTTAAGGAAAACAAGGTAGAGAAATTGTGCTTGGTTTAAAAGCTTTATTCGGCTTTGGCACTGCTTATCCCTCCTCCTCTCCCTGGTGTGTGGCTATCACTGCATTGTTTTCTGTAGTTTTAGTTCTTATCATATTTGACATTCATCATCCATTTTGCAGAGCTAAACACAACTTACAGGTGTGGTAAGTGTATGGTCATCAGATCATTCAAAGTTAATAACTTATCAGCTGTTGTAAGATTAACCTTGATAACAATATTTCTGCTATGAATCTCTGATTACCCTTTTGCCATGAAATACTGAAAACCTAAAATAATAGATTTATGATAATTTTTATTTTGCTCATCTTGATTAATAAATATGCATGGTAATGCATGCAACCTCACTTTAGGGGAAGGTGAAGGTGTTGAACATAGCACTGAATTCAAAACGTGCTTCACTGAAAATATAGCATGTTCATAAGCTGTATTAAATCACAAGCACTCTGCCTGAAGAAATACACAGAAGGTTCTTGATCAGTTACCATTTAGTGACTGTTATACAGTTTGATAATTATTTTGAAAATATTCCAATTTGATATAATATGCTTGTAAATCTTTTTAGCTAAGGTATATGACCCATTTTGATGTTGATAGTACCTAAGTCTTAGATCATTGTGTAATTTTCAATTTTTTTTTAATTTACAAATATGGCTTAAGGGCATACTAACTTTGCTACTTTGAATTCTAGCATTGAGAACGGCACTATGCTGCAAGGGGTCATCATTATGGAGGAATTCTGCAAGGAGTTGGCAGCCATTGCTTTTGTTAAACATCATGACATAATGGGAAAATAAAAACCAGTGAAACTAACAGTTTGAAATGAAAACAAACCATTCAAGTTGACAATGAACTTACCTTCGACATGGCATTAGTAGTATATCTGGCTTTTTTTCTCCAGTCATGTGTCACATTTAGACGAAATGAATACAAACAGCAGTTTCATTTTAGGATACAACTCACTGGCATATATCAGATTCTGGTTATGTTCACTGTGATAGTGTCCTTTCACTCAAATATTATGATCATTCACGGCAAAATTGTAAATAACTTTTAAGAAGAAAAGATTCTCGGCATAATATGTTTATGTTACATGTAGATCTTTATGTAGCTTTGCATATTATTTGGCTGCATTTAATAACTTACAATCATAAACATGAATTTCTCAAAGAAGAATGATGTAGGTAAAGTAGAACCTATAAGCCATAAGGGAATTATGTTATCTGATTGTTTCTGAGTTTTTTTTTTGTGTGTGTGTGACAACCTGGTCTACTCCACAGGATATTTGCCCTGTTGAAAGGAATATTAAAGGCCCCCTTGCTCAGTTTCTAAATTTTAAATGAAGATTAAGATTAAGGTTTTGTAGGTTTACCAATTGTTATATGTTCAGAGATATGTTTGGAATATATATGGTATATATTAAATTTTTAAATATTTGATCAATTAACATGCTGTGGGGGTAAAAGACTGTTATGTACATGTGGGTTATTATTAGAAATTCATACTGTGGGGCTGATATCACTTTATGTAGTGATATATTATCACATTCTGTTAAAGATTATAGGTTTCGGATGGACAATGTGTACCATTTACCTTTGTTTGTAAGACAAAAAATGCACTGCTACCATCTAAAGTAAGAAAAAGTTCACTTCTTATATACTACACTACAGATGTATCTCAGCGAGTTTACAGATGCTTGGTCATTTTTGGCCCTGATACAAAATAGGTGTTAACACTCTCTGGGGAGGATACAGCCTAGCATTCTGTATGAGGCACTGAAAGCTAGCAAAGGAACAGTATCTTTCTCTGCCAGGTCAGGAACTTTACCCCTGCTTTAACCCCTAAGTGCCGAGTGCCAAGTGGGGAGACAACAAGCACCGTTTATGAAAGACTGATATGTTCCCAGGCGGGGTTGAACCCACGTCCTCCTGCTCCAGAGGCAGACACTGTGACAACAAAGCCATTGCTTGGCTTGGAATCATGCATATTGGGCTTGTGGGCAGTGCATTATTTAGTACATTGTGACCACTGATTGTGGGAAATGAATTAAAAATACTTGGAAAAGGTCACCTCAATTAAATGTTTGCTTTTTTTTTTGCCTGCCTGCATTTCTTGAATAATGCATTATTATAGTTGTAAGTGCCTTGATTCAGTGAGTTGGTTATTATTATAGCTGGAAAGCAATATTAGGTAAATATGTTATTAATATGTTCTTCAAGCCTGTTTGAGGTTTATACTTGAATGGACTCGGTGTAACGGCTAATTATGAAGTCAACATAGTATGTTAGATATTAAATACTATTCATATTCATGGGACTAACTATATTGAAATGCAGATACCTTGATTTTGATTAAGATATTTTATCTTACATTATATAAGAGGCCCAATGTCCATTGTAGTGTTATCATGATAACATGATTACAAAATTCAGAGTTTCACATTTTGTTCTGTTCGAGTATTCATACATATAGTACAGTTTGGTGTTGACTATTTCTAGTGTTTTGACAGCTTGTAGAGGTGTATGTAAATTTTGTTTTATTCTATTATCTTTATAGCGTTTGTTTATGTGTGTGTGGCAGGGAGATACAAAGTTTGTCTTGTTCATTTTGACTGGAACAAAATATTCATGAACGAATAACATCACATGCAGTGACTTTTTGTCAAAATTACAAGACATGATAAGTAAATTAACTAAAAATTTTTATCAGCATTTTGCATAGGTTCAGCCCTTCTAAGTATAAGCTTACAAATATGTAGCAAATACAAATTTAATATTTTATTTAATTTGAAATTTTATGTTGTACCTGAAGATGTGTCTAGGGTAAAATTTTTAGTGCAATTGGTTTTATAGCCAGTTTTTTTTAACCTTCTTGTCTATTTTTTTTATAAGTGTTATTATAAACAGTGAAAATCTTTTACTGTCCATCTAGTCCCAGGTTCTGTTCTTAATAGTGGTATGTGATTAGTAAACATTTTAAAGGGATAATAACTCTTTGTATGAGATCTATATTTCACAATAAAAACATTGTGAATAACTCATAGAAATATAATATATTCTGCTTTACCACAAACTCGGCAGTTAAAGTTATTATTCTGATATCTGAGCTTGTCTTTAGACCACGTGACCTCCATTGATGGCTATACTCTGAGAAAAAACCAAACTTTTTAGAAAAAAACCAGGGACTAACTTTGAATGTAAAAATGGATTCATTAACCATTGGCAAGTACGGGAAAATTGTTGCTTACTCCAGGAAAATTCATTTTTTGGCCGAAACAAAGTTATTATCCCTTTAAGTATATAATTATTTTTGTCTTTTTAAGGGCTCTTTGTCTCATGGTGTAACAATTAATTTTGTTCCAAGGTCAGTGATGTTGTATATTTAATCAGTTCAAACCACATTGTGCAACAACTGTTGATAAATTATGCACAATAGAGATTACTGTGAAGTATAGAGACCTGGAAAGGTTTGTTCCCAAAATTAGTGCCAAGAAAATTTAATCAAAAAAGAAAAAAAAAGCTGCTCAAAGATTAAACTAGAACTAAACAAATTATGAGGCTGTTATTGAACATTTTCAAATATATCTGTTTAGGATCAATGCTGGCTATTATTTGGTCTTTCATGTTTTGCAATACCAGTTATTTTAAGGTAAATCTGACACTTAAATGAAGAATAAAGATCTGTTTTATTTTTGTATTTATTTCTCATAATAAGAAATGTGACACGTTTCATGTTGCACTACCCAATACATACTCATTCTATACATATCTTGTGCAAAAATGGCCATATTTATAATTCCTCTTTTACAACAAATACAATCTTACAGCTATTAGATGTAGGGAAAAAAGGTCAGGCCAGCTGACTACAACTGAGGCAATAAATTACATTTCAATGTAGGGCACCACTGTACTACATAGATTGCATGTGTTACTGCAAACACCACTTAGTGACCACATGGAGGGTGTTTTATGACTCGCGTTTGTTTGTAAAGTTTTTCAAGAAGTCTGGGCTTGTGTGACTTTCTTTTTCCATCTTATTTCAATGTTGCCTATTCAGATTTGGTTAAGAGCAATTGAAAATGCCTTTGTATTGTCTCACTCTACTCCATAGGTACTTGAGATGTTTGCCTATACATTTCAATGAGGCAACTTCACCCCAACACAACCTGTTAAAAAGTTGTCCTATTTAAACTCTCCATGCCATTGTAAGGTTTACAATGGATACACACTGGATGATAAATGTACTTTCCCTTTTCCTAACTAAAGTGTTCAAGACAGCAAATATAATGGAAAAAATAAATGGAAAAGGGAGTATTAATCAAGTCATAAATTATTAGTTTTAAGTTTTCATTGCTGATATCATACCCTTCATAATCCTTGCAATTGCAACCTCCAGACAAAAATAATATTATTTCAGTATTACATTATCACAATGTTTTACATTTACTAAGAATCTCATAAGAGCAAATGTTGTCTATGTCTGGTTTCTATGTGGACTTTTTTTATTGAACTAGGTCTTGAATAAGCATTTCTATGGTTGTCATTTTACTGGTATGGGATTTCGACTTTCTCAGTCATCTGCTACTATGGATAACGACTTGATTTCAGATAGTTTTTGTTGTAGGCTAGTGTCATATTTTTCATCAGGAGGAACTTCAGTTACTTTGTTGAATTGTAAAGATAATTCTGTATAAATTTTAAAAGCTTCAGTAAAATAAGCCACCTGAAAGAACAAAGATAATATTTGTCAGATGTTAAATTTGAATTTAAACAGCAATTTTATCAAGTGACCCTATACACCTTTTAATTACAATGCAACAAACTTATCACTGCAGTTAAGTAATTCTTTATGAAAAAGACAGCACAACTGCAACCTACCTGAGATCTGATCAGTGCCTGAAAACAAGGCCTGAAATATTCCATCCTGCCTTCATAAAGCCTTGGCATATCTTCCATCAACTGGCTGTTCAGGTACTCAAACTCCTCTTTAGCTGCATTCAGGGCCTTCTTTGCCTGAAAACAGATAAATATAAGATGGCTAAATATATAACTGATATTAAATGATGAAAACACTGTTAACAACAGATGGTTGAACCTACGGTTTTTTACACGTATCTGAATGACAGATGCTTATATAACATAAACTACATAATAGGTAAAAAAAGAATTCACCAAATTAAAGTAAACAATCTGCACATTATAAACCAATAATTGTAAAGACTATGGCCCCAATCACGTCGAGAAGAGCCGAGGCTGAGAACTTAACATGACGGATATACATGAAAGGAAAACCGCCTAATCCTTTAATGGTCTCTCCGCCTTTCACACGCCTCCCCAGGTGTGATGCAAGCAAAAAAAAAAAAAAAATATATATATATATATATATATATATATATATATATATATATATATATATATATATATATATATATATACTGTCTGTTGGGGAACGTTTCTCATTTCATTGAAGCCTATAAACATCAGGAGTACATGATAGCAAATGAATGCCTTACATTTTCCAATTTGACAACAGTGGGCCCAGTTCTCTCTCTGTCCTGATATTTTTCAACCTTTGACTGGCATTTATTGTATTCCTGAAAAAATAAAAATGAGACTTGATTAGTATATTGCACTATTTTTCATTTTGGCAAATTGGTTAAGGAAAGCATGCATCCTTTGATTTAAAGTGAACTAGATCATATTTATCAAATTTTCTGATGCTAAATATATCATTTCAATTAAACCTTGAAATGAGTTGCTTTACATCTGATCCCTCAGCGTAGTTTAAATGGTGATATAAAGAGTTTCTTGGAATTGAGGTTAATAAAAACCTGCCCACTGGACCACTGCTAAACAACATCACACAAAGGCTATTTGTTCACCTTATTGTCTTGTTAAGAATCAAATGAAGTTTTCTCTTATAAGGTCAGATAACAAACATTGCCACTTAATGTTGTTTCAAGTGGAATCACAGACAAAGTCAAAGACAATCACCTGTAAACTCTGCTCTCGTTTCTTAATGGCAGACTGGACACTGGGGAACACACTGTTGAACCTGAAAAGGTCAGACTTTTTACACTGGAGAAGAAAGAAATCACAAAGGAAGAATCACACACACTTTAGGTCAAAGCTGAGAAAAAAGGTAAATAGAACACAAGTCATAAACTCTGAGGTCTCTTAATGTTTACCCATATAAAATGAAACAATGCCACCTGCACATAAGTTAACTCTTCAATATAGCTACATAGAACATGACTGCATTTTGAAATGATTACTGAATAATTAATATGACCTCTGTCAATAAATCAAGAATCCATATTCAGTGTCTTTGCCAACCACTAATCCAATATATATTTAAACTACTCAAAATCAAACTAAAAATTTCTGGTGATTCAATGCTATTTTTGTAGACCACATTTACAGTACTCTTCGCTCACTTTTTCATGGGCTCAACAACAGCCTTTTGGGCATTCGTGTTCTGAAATAAAGACAGAAATAGCAGCCTCTGTAGACAATGACAATCAGATCCAGTTAAAGACAAATGTATCTAATAAGCTCATCAATTTCAATGGCATGAAAGTAACTTAGTTCAGTCACCCCTCAAGAACTTTTTTTTTTTTTTTTTGTCCCTGAACTATTTGTAGGACCAAATCTTCACATTTGTCAAGCATAATTATAAATTAACTTATTGAAATAAAAATCATTGTGTATTCACAAAAATATTCTAAACAAAACAACAACACCGGAAAAATGAAATGAGGCAGTATAAACATACTACCACAGCACTGCACACATCATGGCACAATAAATCCAAACATTCCAGGAATCTAATATTCATATTATTCAGTTCGAACTAAAAACTGCAGGTAAAACTGTTCATTCAACCACCTTACCATCTCCTGCATTAAAAGATCCAGCCTTACAACAGCAGCATTCCAATCCTCCACTAGTAACAAAAGGTCTGGTTCACTCTGGCATAAGGAACTGGCCACTAAATCCTGACTCATCTTACTTTCACATTTAGACAGTGCTGCAATGCAAGAATTCATGGCTACTTTCACAATTTCAAAATTTGAAAACTGGTAGATAATGGCAACAATCACACACAGTGAATTTGGTTACAAATTAACTGAGTATATGTATGACATTTAGACTGCATTCCCATAAACCCGTCATACTGGCTGGATCGATCTAACTCTGCAGGGGTTCTTGTTAAAGTGCTTTCCATGTAATTAGCTCGATTGCCTGGCACGCCCTCTTGAGTAACTGGGGTTGGGGGGGGGGTAATTTTTAATTATCCCCTAGCAGTTTGAGTAAGCATGCCAAACATTTAAGCTGCTTGCACTGAATGCAATTTAGGAAGAAGCCCCGCAGTGTTAAATTGATTCAGTAATTGACCTAGTATGATGGGTTTATGGGAATGCTGCCTTAACCAAAGTTGTTTATTTCATATTCTAACACTTTTCAAGTTTCAAAAGATGGAAGAAGGAATATTTTTTAAATTATCTCTCAGACTATTGAAATTCCTCATAAAAAAGACCAATCATCAATAAAAGAAGACACACTAATGACATGTGATTTGTCAATATTGCCTTCCATGCACCTGCAAGACATGATGCATTGGACAGGTTATCACTGACTGAAGATTTATATAATAAGAAATCCTCCCATCAATAGAAATCAATTTTTAATATACCTGCAGCAGCTTCTGTACATCTCTTCATGTCCTTATATAGCTTCTTACTCCTTTCATCTAGACTAAAATAAGAATGTCAATATCCCATAAAAAAAGTTTACTGCTTTTCTTACAAAAAGAACATTTCCCTTCCCCCTAAACCAAACACTGCTAAATCAATGTGGTAAAACTGAAAACATAACCAAAAATAATTGTTAAAACTTATTATGGGCATATGATATCAGCATGATGAATCTTAGACCATTTTTGATCTGCCATGTTTCAAATCAAGTTAATCTTTACAGACAGAATGAAGCCCCTCAACTCAAATATATAACAGTTAATAAGCTTAAAAACACTACTTGCAGTGTTGATTGCTAATTTAAATAGTTCCTGTGTGCACTGACAAGATACAAAACAGAAACAAGTATTTCAAACTAAATCTTTGACAAAAAGTGTAAACATTTTAAAATGTCACCAACTTTAATTTCATACCACACCTGCCAAACAACCAAAGAAAAATAAATAAATAAACATCATTTTGGCCTCTTTTTGACACAAAAAACTTGCTTATGCAACAGTAGTATTAACAGCCACTGAGTGTACTAAATGGAAAAATACAGCAGCATGTTAAACAGTAAATTAAAAAAATATGCAATGGTTATGGAACCTTTGTCTTCATCTAACCTTTCTCTAATTCCTTTCTCTAATTTGGTGTTGCATTTAATGAAACTAAGTGGATGACAATATGACGTGTTTATTTTTTTCACAGATACTACTTCCAGTATGCTTTACAGAAAATTGACTAAATATATGTCTTTGCATTCTGTATTTATTCTTTCAAGTGAAATATCACCTATTACACCTAAATTCAAATTACAGCCTTCCAAGAAACAGATAAATGATACATATTCGATTTAACACCTACATTTCTAGTTTCTTTTTTTCCCTTTCAAAGTCTTTCTCTGCCTGAAAGAAAACAATACAACGTGAAGTGTGTTGACATTATAAAACTAGACAGAAAAGAATGGCAAAATACAGACACCAAACAGGATAAAAAAGATTTTAAAAGTATTTACAATACAAGGCAGCAAATCTTTCAAATGATCACAAAGATGCCAATGTGTGAAAAATAAGAAATAAAAATAAAAAAAAAAAACAAACTTTGTAGCTTCAAGAATTTATGATAGGTTTGTCATACTGGTTTTTGAAATTGAGCTGTATATTAGCACTTTGAATCATTTCTGTAAGTTACAGAATAATAAAATACCTGTTTTTTCACTTAATAAAGTGCACGGTAACTCTAATGCCAAGCTAACACTATCAACAGACAGGTGATTGCTGGATGTCCAGACAAATGGTGTCTGTCCAAAATAATAATAATAATAATTTAAAAATGCAAAACTGATGTGAATGACAAAAATAAATAAATTAATAAATAAATAAATAATAAAATAATAATAATAATAAAATAATAATAAATAAAAAAATAAAGAAATCCCATTTTAGGTGAAGAAACAATTTACAACTGACAGGGGGTTTTCATAGTCTTAAATTCTTGGACAAAGCTTTGATTGTTAAAACCAAATTGTAAAGCCAATTTTGCAATATTGAAATAAGATCATAATAGTCTTAGATGGACATTACAATGTCAATTTTTTAAGAGTTAATATGAATGATTGACTAAAGTCTGATGTATTAGACAAATATCAAAATGGGCAACTGTCACCAGCGAGAGTTGAAACCTTTGTCAAGACAGTCACAATTTACTAAAATGGCATAATTAAAAGACAGAAAAAAACAAAACAAAATAAGGCAAGTGACTTTTGAGATTTTGGAAATGTAACTTAGCTGACTAAGCCTTAAGTAAATATTACTGATGCTTAAATTTCCCCTCCAAAGTTTAGACTTTAGACTTCTTTTGAAAACGCCCCAGCACACTTCAATGCTGTGCACAAGGTAGGCCACGTGAAAGTATTGCTTAATGTAAATGTTTTGATACAATATTAAAAACAGTACCTGATCTGCTGTGCAATACCCTGACTTTCAAATTCCTTTCTGATCAGCCTCATCATTTTTAAATTCACTCATATGCCTGCCTATAAGTGATAGATGCCTTCTAGTCACTGGCAGGGAGATTTCAAAATGAAGAAGCTCGCCTGCAGGGTGCAATGTGATGTTTTTAGTATAAACCACAAAGTCATGTTTTCCATCATGTTGGCTAGTGCAGATAGTGCATAGCCTCCCTATTCCCTGGGCACACGATAAGCTTATATTCACATTATACTTCACTGGCCATGTCAATTGCAATTACGAGATAATGTGAGATTGATGGTATATAACCTCTCCTCAACAAATCATACACTGCCGCTTTATTTAAGTGGACTGTGTATACTTTATCCTTTATTTATTTATTTTATTGAACACTGGTTTCACTGAGAAAAAAATTAAAATTAAATCACAACTCATTCAACTATTTGACAAAGGTATTAGAGGAACAAATAATGCCCACCTTTAGGACATATATTTCATAACAAGAAATTTACTCACTGATATGGAAAGAACGCTCCTTCTGGGAGTGGTAAATCTGTTAAACCTGAAAGAAATTAAATTGATTTAATAACAGTTTTCAATCAAATTTAAGCTTTTTTATCACAGGCAGCAAATGAAGTTTTGTCATAAGGCAGTCACATCCATGGAAGATTCACATCTTTCTGTTCAACCCTTCAAATCCCACCAATTACTAAAATTTCATGCAATTCACTTTTCACAACTACTGAAAAAGGATAAGAAATCTTTATTTTACGAATATAAAATGAACTTAAAGAAAATTATGTATAATGAATAATATGAATATCTCTTTTTGAACTTTTCAAAATATTTATGGGTGTATGTTTGTTGTCAAGTGCCTATGAGTCACAATCACATTAGGAAACAAAACTCCCACTACAAAATTTACACTGAGACACATATTAAAGTACCCAGCAGGAGACAAAAAAAAGAAACAAAAAATATGACATTTACAAGCCCATGGATTTCCTGGTCAATCACGTCATTGCGATATTCTATACTTTGTGAGATTCTGTACAACAGTCAGGAAATGATCACATGGACTTTTTACACACACACACACACACACACACATATATATGGAAACTATACAGACATTAAATAAAGAAATTCAAAGAAACTGATCTAGAGTAACTGACGTCTAATGAGCTTGGATGGTAAAAGAGTTATTAAATATAATAAAAATATGGCAATATTATATATCAACAAAATAAATAAATTTTAACCTAAACTGAAGTAGTTTATCAGTTATGCTGTGAATGATACTGAAATGCCTCTAAATACAAACAAGGCAGCAAAGCTGTCAAATGTACAGACAAAAAACAGAAAAAAAAAACATGCAAAATAGGTCATTTTGTCAATTTTGATGCAATAATGTATGCTTATTATAGCACAGTCAGTCAACACTAATTCNCCATCGGCATCGGCATCGGCATCGGCATCGGCGACGACGGCGACGACAGACGCAGGTGATGGCAATATGTACAGACACATCTGTGTCTGTACATAAAAAAATTGAAATATTGTCAAATTGTGCCACAGTGAAACTCCTAACAGATTGAACTAATTTCTTATTAACTAAAACACACTTAAACTGTCTCTTTCTTAAAAAAAATGAAATGGCTTAAAACTTAATTTATTTTTAAAATGTGGTTTATCGACAGTTATTGGGTTAATATCCCAAATATTCATCTTTAAAAAATCAGCAACTTCTATGACAAATTGTTTCACTGATTTTTTAAAAACCCTTTCTTTTAATCAAATGAAGCTCACTTGTAAATTTTAAGTAAATTTATTAACTAACAAAAAAATAGCATTTATGGGAAAAAACATCACCAATACAGATTTTTAAAAATCAATAACTTTCATAAATAAGATCTGATCATGCTAATTTTCTGACTTAACCTGCATTTTAGCAAACAAACAATCCCACTCTGTAAATTTGAAGAATTTACAAAACATAGTTTAGAAGTTATAGGGTGAACAACAACCTTTTTGGACACCAACAATACTAGAAATGGTAACAAGAGAAACAGACAGTGATCTGATGAATATAGACCCTTATATTATGGAGTTTGTAAATAATTAGCAAAGAAATCAATAATTAGCAAAGAAATTAGATTGTTCATTAGCCACCCATTTTTTAATAACTTGAATTGAATAAAGCTTTATATACACAAGTACTGTTAAGTAGTCCAATCATTAATGTCAATATAATATTATTATACATTTGATATAGAATGTAGATCACTGTTTACATCCACAGTGGTGCCAAGAAAAAAAAGATAAGATTATGTGGTTGTGCAAATATAAAGAATACAAAATCTCTACATTGCATACATCCACCCACACTGATAACAAATGAGATTCAATTATTCTGCAAATAGTAGGTATATGTACCAACAGGTTAAGTATCATGATTTTACCCTATTCTAATTAGTTTCCATTACTAGTAAGGTTTTGCCAAACTAAATGTGTTAAAGATCAAATTGTGATTTGTGTCAAGCTAGTATATTAAAGCTATACCATATAAGATGTGACAGTACATGAAATTTGGCCTTCATATTTCCCTTTTCCGAGAGCATATTTGAAATCTCCACATCTGATTTTCGGTCAGTCATCTATAGAAATTTTTCCCATAATTCCTTCAGTTTGGGATATATTTAGCATTGATTTTTCAAAATTTTTGACAAGTGTGCGTTTCAACAAGCGTCACGCCCAGGCCAATGCACCGACAGAGGAGATACAATCTCTCCTAAACTGTTCACAGCAGCATTGGAACGTATATTCAGGGATCTAGACTGGCAGGACAAGGGCATAAACATAGACAGTACCAGGCTCAATCACCTTAGGTTTGCAGACGACATCATAATAGTAGCAGATGATGCAAAAGACCTTGAAGAAATGCTACAGGCGTTAGCAGATGAAAGCGCAAAAAGTGGGCTAAAGATGAACACCAGCAAGACAAAGGTGATGTTTGGACCACTAACCACCCCTTGCACAGTGAAGGTCAACACAAAAGAGATAGAAGCAGTAGAAGAGCATATATACCTTGGGCAACGGTTCAGCCTAAGTGATCGAACACTGGAGAAAGAAATCCAACGAAGGATATAAGCAGGATGGGCAGCACATGAGAAGCACAATGACATCTTCAAGAGCAACCTTCCTACCTGCCTGAAAAAGAAAGTGTTCAATGCTTGTGTGCTGCCGGCAATCACCTATGGTTCAGAGACCTGGGCACTGAATGCCTCCATGGAACACAAGCTACAAGTAGCTCAGAGAAAGATGGAAAGAATTATGTTGAACATCAGTCCAAGAGAGCGGAAAACGAATGTATGGTTATGTGAACAGACCAAAGTTAAGGACGTACTGCTCACAGTTAAAGAAATTAAATGGAGGTGGGCAGGACATGTCAAAAGAATGAAGGACAATAGGTGGACAATCAGGCTTACAGAATAGACCCCAAGGTATGGACAAAGAAAAAGAGGAAGGCCGGTCAAACGATGGAGGGATGAATTAGATGACTACTGGAAGTCTTGGAAGAAGAAACCTTGGCCAAACTGGAAATCTGAGGCTCAGGATAGGAAACAATGGAAAAAGCATGCTGCAGCTAAGGCCTTTGTCCAACAGTGGAACATTATAGGCTCTAAATGATGATGATGATGATGATTTCCCTTTTATTATTGCAATTAATGTACAATTAGAATAATGAATTATGTTAGACAATAATTTTGTATTTAAATTTTTGTTTTATATTTCTTAAAACAAAATTTCATGGTAAAACTGTAAATTTCACTTGACTATTGTAGATCTATAAATTTTGTTATGCTTTCATAATAAGCCTGTGTTGTAATTTAAATTTATAAATTCCATCATCTTATTTATGTTAAAGTGATGAAATTAACATCCAGAAACATTCATATCCTATACCCTAATAGTATTAATGTAATTTTAATTCTGACGTGTAACATGATTTAATTTCATCAATTAGGTCATCTATATGTGATGTAATTAATATTTAGAAATGCCCATATTCTAGCCCTTAACTGTGTTAAGAGAGGTTTCATACCATTGTTATTGAACATTGTTAGCAAATTCACCAACTTCCGCTAACACTGTTTTGTTTTTATAACGTACTAAGGGTTGAACAATGAAAAATCAAGTAAATACTAAAACTAGTAAAAGTTAATTAAAACTAATTTATTTGAATAACAGATGCATTGCCATTGATCAAAGCCACCAAATAAATGGATTTAGAAAAATCAAAGACTTCAGCGTGTATAAGACTTCTAGGTAGAATAAACAGTAGTTACGTATGCACTGTAGATCTTATGCAAATAAGTAAAAGATAATTTACCTACCAACTCATTTAAAACTGCTTTCCTGTTTACACTCAGTGAAGGAAGGTGAAGGTCAATATAATCCCGCACCCGGATGAATCGTTCTAGAACAAAATCTTGGCTTTATGAGGAGACTAATTACTACTCACTTTAAAAGTACATAAAATATATTTTAAATAGCCATAATCATTTGACATGACCCAACATCCCTTACTCTTCCAGAGACGTCACCTTTCCCAGCCTGTACCACGTGAGCAAACAAACAAATGAATATGGCGAATGTCGTCCAGAGGATAGGGCACCTGGCGAGGAAAACTTTCCTTGATATCTCCAGTAAAGTTGCGTTAAAGGAGAATATAGCGGATCTTAAGGGTGTCCTTCAGACTTTAAATGCATCCGACCTAAATTTTGAGGAGCGTTTAGTTGAAAATCGGGATGTTTATAGGCCGGAAACCCGAGGAGCACCAGTTACCTACGTGCATATTTACGAGGATAGAATACTTAGTATTGGAATTTTTGTTATCCGCCATGGTGCAAGTTTGCCATTGCACGATCATCCCGATATGCATGGCCTCATTAAAGTGATTCATGGACAGGGCAAGATAAAGAGTTTCACGTCTGTCCCAAAGGAAGATATTCCCTTTCCAAAGGAAATGGAACTAAATAGTTCGGTAAAACCATGGCACAGGGACAGAATAATACCAGTTAAACTCCATTCAGACACAGTGGTGGATTCTGATAGTGTTTGTGAGCTTGGGCCTGAGGAAGGAAATTTGCACTATATTGAGGCTGTTAACGGGCCCATGGCTTTTGTAGATATACTGTCTCCACCCTATGACCATGACACTGGAGCAAGGGTGTGTCATTACTACAAGGAACTAAATATAGAGAAAGATGTCACAGGAAGCGGGATACAGAATGACATATGTTGGCTTCTGGAGATCCCGCAGCCCTCTGATTACTGGACAGCTTCTGCCAAATACAAGGGGCCACGCATTGCAATTGACATGGATTCATTTTGAATTCTTGAACCAGCTATGCCAAACAAAAATGTATATATTGAAATCCCGAACAAAATTGAACACTGATGTCAATCTCAATGTTTACTATGGTGACCTTCATGCAGAATGCTCTGGCATTGACCACATTTAAAATACATGTTAATGCTATTCAAAATTCTAACAAACATTTCATTCCATTTCAAAAGAAATGTATATTTCATATGAGAAACACTCATTTGCCAAAAGGAAAAGAAAATTTGTTTAGCTGATCTTGTTAGAGATCATTACCAAATATTTATGGATGTGCAAAGCCTAAACAAATCTCATCAAAGCTAACATTATTTAAAAAATTGGTCTATCAGGCATCCAAATAAACTTACTGACATAGTTTATATAACCTCTGAAAGTGATGATGGTACAATATATTCAGGGAACCTTTTATGGAGAATGTAATGGCCATGAAGGCCATTTTAGTTTGTATAATGTTGTATTGTGATTTGTATTCTATTATATATTAATTAAGGCTACTGAGATATGTGAGGCCCCATTGCAGGGAGGACATTATGACATTCATTTAGTATGATTTTCAATTTTACCTATTAATATGCTGTGATTTAGCTGTATTTGTATTTCTTGCTCATAAAAAATATTACTATAATTGACATAATAGATACAGGAGGCTTCATGGTGTTTGGGGATTGTATACTCGAGAGAATAAACTAGCAACATTGAAAATGTCAGCTCACATGTTAAGTAATCCATGTGGCTAATGAACACTAAGCATACACTGCTTGAAATATGTGTAAGATTGTTAAAAAGGGGACAGAAGATGCATCTCAGTTAGGTTTTCATTTTCATTTCCAAGTTTGTATTTACAGAAACTAATTTGGAATTGGTGAAGATGATGCTGATAATTTCAGTGTTACAGTGATATGAACTAAAACTCTGAAGACTGCATTGATACTATATAGTATATATAATTATTACAACTGTGCCTTCACCTGAAAGCTTGCACTATCTCTTGACTTCCAACAGTCTGTTATGTCTCTTGACCTAACATACCTCAGATATATGTTGTTTTTCTTTAAAAAAAAGGGTAACTTCATTTTAATTGCTTTTTTCCGTTCTCGTATCTGATTGTTTAAAAAGGATTATAAATATGGTCCTCAATTCTTTGAAAATCAGTTGAGATATGCGGAACATTGACTCTTAACAAATACTTTTATTATTGGAAATTTGTTATCAATGAATGATTAAACTTACACCATGTTGGTGATGACTGATCAACTCTTTAAGTATTGAAATAAAAGTGACAAAAGTAAAACCTCAAGGTTTCATTTTCGTTTATGTTGTTATTCTTGCCTGTTACTTCTGTTTTTATATTTGCTTACCTTGATTTCTATCCAAGTATATCAGAGGCTTTAGAAGGAAGCTAAGGAACTCTGTCCAATTTTTAACCCAAATCGTATACAGTTATAAAAATATGTTTTGGACCAAGTCTCCAGCCAACCAATGTTTAAGTTATTTTTTATGTACAGACACGTGTCTATACGTGTAGCTGTCACCTGTGTCTGTCTTTGCTGTAGTTGTCGCTGTGGACTTTTAAGTTTTATAGCAATAAGTGGAAAATGGTTTGACCTTTTGTCTTCAAATTTACAGAACTGATGAATATTCATAAAATACAAGTCAACTTTGAAAATCAGCTTGATCGGACCATTTTTTCAAAAGTTATGCTGTTCTTTTTTCAGCATATTTTAGCCACTGTTATGCAAATAAAATGGAAATTATTTTACTTTTTGTCCTCAAACTCTCAGAACTGATGAATATTCATAAAATACAGTTTTTTTTTTCAGCATATATGCAACACTGATAACACATTTTAAGGAAAACCAATAGGTCTATTGTCTTGAAACCTACAGGAATGATCAAGATAAGGAAAACACAGGTCGACTTTAAAAATCAGCTTGATCGGACCATTTTCTGTTATGCATTTTTTTTTTTGCTATTTTCAGAATATTTAAGCCACCGTTATACAAATAAAATGAAAACCATTCTACCTTTTGTCTTCAAACATGCAGGACTGATGAATATTCATTAAGCACAGGTCAAGTTCGAAAATCAGCCTGATCGGACCATTTTTCCAAAAGTTATGCTGTTTTTTTTTCAGCATATTTTATCCTCCATAAAACAAATAAAAAGAAAATCGCTTTACCTTTTGTCAAAAACTTTCAGAACTGATTCATAGGTTTATTATACAGGTCAAGTGCGAAAATTAGCTCGATCCATTTATTTTTTTGAAGTAATTCTGTTTTTTTTTTTCTTTTTTTTTCTCAATCTTATGGAAAAGAATGATAGGACTAAAACCATGCTCTTGTTGGAAAAACAGCCTAAGTGGATTCTTTTTTGAAAGTGATGCCATTTTTAGTGAAATGTTAATTCTTCACATTTTCAAGGTATTACTTTGAACTTCCATGGACTTGAAGACCTTTGCTAGTCACCTTTTCTGAATATCCATGTTACTTAAAGTATATTATAAAAATTGGCGGTGGTCATGCTGTTAAGCATTATGTAATATTGCATTAAAATTGATAAAAGAACTTTTTGTGTACTGCCACTACAAATGCCCTAAAAGGAAAAATGTGTTTATTATTAATATTTTGTAACTAACAAGAATCATTGATATACAGTTGAAACTGGCAAATCAGCTTGACTGGATTATTTTTCTTTCTTAATATCTGTACATTTGACAGCTGTGCTGCCTTGTTTTTTGAGACCAGACCAGAGCAGTAACTCTCCAGTAGAGAATAATTTTATAATGGCCGACTTAAAAATGATGATAAAAAATAGAAAAATGTTGGAATTAAATATTTCAGAATAGTCCTGTTATCCTTTGAAAACAAATCATTCATCTAAAGTTTCTCTTTTTTAAAATTTTCCTTGAAGGTAATTTATAAAAACTCGTCTGTACCGTATAACCATATAATTGTTTGTTTTCACCTGCTTTATCCACCGCAGATGCTTGGGTCATATTATTTATGCTTATGGCATACCACTGACAGTCGGGCGAAGACATTAACAAACTAGTTTTCTTTCCAGATGCCGCGTCTATATTTAGCTGCGGTTCAGCAGCCTCTATACTAAAGCTTAAATTAACCTCAAGCATTCCAGGACTCTATGACGCGAGTTAGACGTCACTACTGACCTCGAATTTTGTTTACAAATCCAGACATAGGGATTCCCTATTTGGTTTATGCGAGCAACCTGTTGCCAGACTGCTGCCTGAGAAGGAATTATAGGAGAGTTGTGAGTTTTGGGAAATATCAAAGATTTTTTATATAAATCGTATTAGGTCGTTGTATTCTGCCTGTTTACCGTAAATAGGCTTTTACTTGCGATCGCCACGTATGAATGAGAAGAAAAAAGACCGTAATCATTTTGGAACTTTATTATAGTTAAATATATTTAATGACAAATAACACTGTACAAGATCACCATTCTTTGCCAGCAAGAACTTTGGTATTGAATCCATGTAACGAAAATAAAATTTCAACTGGCAAAATATATATATTACCATTAACAAAGAAAAATTTACAGCGCAGTCAAGACACATGTATAAAAAGACATAACAAAATATCACATCTCCATGACAAATTACATATAAACATATACCACTGACATTTTGAGCACAGAAATCATATTCAATATAGTAGAAAAATAATTTGTATTCGTAATTAAAATCCTTCCGATTTTCTCCACTTGACGGTATAGACCTCTCATTGTAATGAAGCCTAGCTCACGCTATTTGGTTTCATCTGCGTCATACCAAATGATCAGAGCTCAGCTTAGAAACTCAATTACAACAGCAAATCACCTATAACTACCGTCATCCAAATGTCGTTTAACAACAATACAGACAGCTTACGTGGCATTCTACGAAATCGGATGGTCCTCAGGTAACTTACTATTTGATATTAGATTTTACAAACACATCATGTTTGTGGCACATTGCAACACGTATATACATATATGAATAAAATATCAAGTTAAAAAGCTAATGGCATGCTGAATTGACTAACAATGAACATCTAGAATATCTGAAGATGATCAGTGACTTTTAGCTGATAATCAGTTTATAAAATTGACTTTAAATTAAGTGCTGAATTTATCCACCCAGACTTATGAGTGACAGATTATTTTACTGTTTATAAAGCGTTAGCTGTGGTTACAGTCAAAGGAATGGAACTGCTGATAGCATTCTCTGAGCTAAGCTGAGAGTCCGAGATAGGAGTCAGTGGAGCACTGGTGGCCAAAAGTTTCGCTTCCTTCTTAGCCTTCTGTTTCTGATGAACTTTGCTATGGCGTTTTTTCTCATCACTGCGGGCGAATTTTCTACCACAAACGTCGCAACTGAATGGCTTCTCACCAGTGTGTGTTCTGATGTGAGTCGTAAGGTGATCACTGCGACTGAAGGATCGCATACATATCCGACACTGGAATGGTTTTTGACCAGTGTGAATACGAATATGCCTAGTTAGTTCGTCACTCCTAGAAAACCGCCTGTCACAACCACCGACGGGACAGGCATAGGGACGCTCATGGGGTGGAGTCTTGCTTGGCCTGTTAGGGTACTTCCTTGCTTTGACGGGGTACAGTTTTAAAGCTCCTTGTTGGTATGGATTTTGTAAAAGTTCTAGCACAGCTTTGGATGTAGATGGGAATGACTGGATAGGTTGAGGCGAAGGCGTGAAATCCCCCATCGTAGTCATGGGATAGTCATTCAAAGGCTCTGTTTTGATTTGAGGAAATTGGGATGAGCTAACTTGAAGTTGATCAAAAGCTGGGATGTTAGCTGTCGTGTTCATTCCAGAGGACCAGCTATTATTAAAATTACTAACAACCATTTCTTCGGAAACTTGAATTACGGATTGTTGGATGTCATTAGGTGAAGATTGTTGAAAGTTCATACTTAGTCCACTGTTTTGCTGTGTACAGCTCGAGTAAGTTGGCGGCTGTTTCATTGGGTAGTTGGGAAGTGAAGAGTATGTCGAAGAAACTACACAGTCGTAGGATGATTGTCTTGAATAGGGTGGCAGTGTGGCGAAGTTGTCTGGACTGCCAATTCTCTGGGAAAAGCTAGGCTCAGGTGTAGCTGGACAGGACCTTGTCATATGGCTGCTAGCATTAGCGGTGCTGGGATATTGGGGCGAGAACTGTCCGCTTTGGGGACTGCTTGTATGGGGTCGTCCAGGGGAAGGTGTAGAAAAATTGGGTGAAGTGCGATTCTGCTCCTCCTGTGGCTGAGATTGTTGACGCTGGGACTGATGTCTCTGGAAACTTTGAGGAGACCCTGGGGCGGTGAACTGGGCCTTGTTGGTATAGCTCTGAGACTGCTGAGAGCGACTCATGCCACTGTAGTTTGGTTGTGGACTGTAGTCTGATTGCTGTTGTTGTTGGCCCTGGTTTCCATGAGAGAAAAGACTGCAGATAATCGGTGTGATACTAATACCAGATGGGTATCCTGACATGTTCGGGGCACTGCCAGTTGATGTGGGCGTGGCAGTTGTGGTGAAAGTGCCCTTGTAGGATATCTTCGTGGTATTAGACATGGGCGGCAGGCTAGCGACGGTGGTCGAGAACTGCTGCACCTTATCGGCTTGAGGAATACTGATCACTGCTTCTATTGAAGCTGAAAAGAATAAACACAAAGAATAATTGATAATGTGAATAATTTATGTAATACTTTTTCAGATTTTTAAAGTATCAAAATTCCAAAATATAAATTCAACCGAGCGATACCTGGCAGTGAAGATATAACTGTTTGAAAAAGTAACATTTTCAAATCGTTGTCACCGATTATGTCTTTTTGGTTATCTCCCACAACATAAGCCTATTTGGCTAAACTGCGGTTTTCGGGTTACAAGTGACTGTCCCTAAATCAAATATCTTTCAGTATCAGTAATTGAACAGCTGGACTCTTAGCTGTTATTCCCATAGACTGAAGCAAGTGTATGCCAAGTCAAGCCAGCGACTTTTATCCCGGCAACTCTACGCGTCCCACACATTCTGGGGTTAATATATACGTTTGTTGAAGGCGTAGGTGTTCGCCCACTCATGTAAACACAACAACGTGGTAAGCCAACATGGTGCCCAATCAGCATAAGGAGAACCACTACAATAGTTCGATTTTTGAGGAAAATTATTTGAAAAAATAATAAAAAACGGAAAAAATGAAAATCATCCTGAAGGATCTGCAATAAATTACCAATTGTGAAACTGCTGCAGCTGCAGTTCCGATCAATATAGTAGTCCACTGCGGCTATATGTGCTATGCGGGCACACAGACAAGTCATCATTGGAATATTACTAGCAAAATGACCATTTAGCGTTTTATGACGAGATGGTAGTTATATCTGGACCGTGCATAAAAGTGCAAGCTGTATACCACTATATATGCATTTTTCATGCTTCCCGGTTACGCAGGATAGTGTGCATATAGCTGTGCAAGAGCGATCAGCTGATTCTACTCACCAGTGCCAGTGATCGGTACAGGCTCCACGTTAAATCCCTCTCCAGTAAATGGAAATACATCCGAACTGGCTGTCACCGGTGTGTTAAGGTTGTCATCCCCGAATGCATCTATATTTGTGGCGTTAGGTGTTGAAGTTATAGAAGCAGGGTGGTAGCTATCGAAGCTTATTTCACCCAGGCTCTGCTCCTCCAGTGCCACCTGCGAAAGAGTTTCCAACCCGTCCATAATCATAGTAATGAATCCTTGGTAGCTTCCACGATTATAATAGGTGTATGTCCTCACGTGGGTGAGACTATGTCACCTTTATGGCTGAGGTTGTTTACTTTTCTGAGTCCAGTTTGTATGCTGTGGTCTTGATGTTTCTCCTCGCCGATCGTCTAAGCGAATTCACGACGATCTTTGCCGAACGAATTTATGAATGAATTTGCTTCACTATATCTGTTACCATATATGGTATGCGCCGGAAGCTCTGACCAATCAAAAGCCTTCTGCTATCAATGGACGGTGACGTAGTATTGACGTCAATATAAATAAAAGATTACTATACTTTCATTCAACATTCCCCTGACATTCTCGTAAGTGTCTTAAAGGTAGATTACCAATAATTAATATGCATGTGCATGTAATGTAGACGGAACTTCTTCTCCTCCACCATGTCTATCTTCTCTCTATTTAATTTGTCGAAAAAAATATATATTAAGCAAAATAAGTAAAAGCGCAGTTCTACATGAGCAGATAAATTTGCTTTGCCCTTTGAACCAGCTCGGAAGTCCCATATATGGAAGGGAAGCGCATACCGCAATGACCTACGTCATGTGATCTGCATAATGTAGTCGGAAGTTTCTCTTCCATATATGGCACGTCCAATCAATTATGCTGCTTTATTAAGCAAATGAGCTTACGGAAACTTCCTTAAATGGAACACGAACATTCACGAAAGAAGCCGAATAGTTTCCGGCAAAGGATGTGGTACTTTCATCGCGAACCGAGGTTATTGAATATTGTTTGTAATATTGTTTACATCTTGGGGAATCCGGTGGAAAGTAGAATCTGCAGCATGAATTTCATTTTACAGAGTTTTAGGACAGAGCAATATTTATTAAGCTTGGTTCAAAATTTGGACTGCTTTTCAGGATCAAATAATGCCAAATTTAAGATGGTGCCGACACAGATCCAGATCTACGTCGAAATTAGGATATGAAGGAGCATGGATGTGGGGTCACACTCACAGGATTATCATTGCAGATAGCAGTATCAGATAGGTGCGGAGTTTGCACACCTGGGATCTACTCATAGTATTTCGAACATTTCACGGATGAAATGAGTCGTTCAACGTCTGCGCATGATTCTGGAACATATATTACGGATGTAGTTTTTGTCTCGAATTAATGTACTTAATATTGTGCATCCAATAATGAAGGGTAGAAGGCATGTGGTTTATGATTTGTTTTTATTTTTTTATACATTTGACTTTTATGCCCATCAAAACTCCAACTTCTCATTAATACTTAATTTAACATGCAGCTTTAACCTTCAACCTAATAGTAATAGGTCAGTTTACCAAGGCAACCACTGGAAACCACAAGACTCGGAAGCTCTTTTGTCCTGTTACTATTTTGGAACTGTGTCATTCTGTGGTTTCAGTGAGCCACATCTTTGAAGGCTAGTTGAATGAAAAAGAAAATGTTTAAATCCCAGAGTAAACAGGTTCTGACAGATATTACTTACAAGACAACTTTTTGACCAAATCTGATATCAAGTTTCAGACACATTGTTTAAATAGGATGTTGGAGGGTGGGGTGTCAACCTCCTGTTCAAAAAATCTATTTTTTTTAAATCCAGCCCAACCTCCTTCTTTACTTTCCCAATCTTGATAAAAGATAGGGAGGCACACACTTCCAAAGCCCCCAAAACCAGTTTTCTTCAAATATATTACTCATATATGTTACTTTTTAGCCCAAACCCATGCACCCACTTTTAATACCTCAATTTTTCATTGTCCTGGATTGGAGAATGGTGTGCGTGTGCCTTAATTTGTTTGTAAATTGCAAGAATTTCTATCTGAAATGCTGTCTCCATAAAAAGAGATGTCTTCTGCATGCTCTCTTGTTACATGACAACATTTAAGGGCTCATTCCCAATGAAAGTATTATTCTACACAGATCGATCCAGCTCCATAGGGACTCTCGTTGAATGCAATCAGGTTAACATGCTGTCTCCTGGCATCGAGTAGATTATAGAAAAGCTGACGATTATAATCTTTCTTTCTTTCTTTATTCATTGTATCGTATGCATCTACATAGGTAGATGAAAATGTACAATAGGAATGCAATTATAAATAAATATAAATTATATTAAATAGTGATGACTTCTTGTGAGAAAAAATACAAAACATATTTTGCAGAGCCTAATTGGCTCAACCTACTCAACTGCCAGTACACTTGTTGGTGATTATATGAATATGTTGAAAACAAGAGGAAGAGGAAGTGTGTTAATCTGTTTATTAATCTGATTGCATTTGGCAAGTCCCCACGGAGTTGGATGGATCTACATAGAAGGATAGTTTCATATGGAATATTTGTTTTATACGTATGGCTTACACCGAGAAGTTGACTATTGTTTCCATATTACAGTTATACAATACACCAAATTATTACTTGAAATAGACACAATTCTGGTTCATAAGAAGCAAACTGTGATTTTGAATATAGCCATGATCGATTTTCTTTCTAAACAATATACTAGATATTAATCAAAGAGCATATCATGGAATGGGGACTTTATTGATCTCACAGAAATAAACCAAGTAAGCATTAATGCAGACACAACTGAGAATTATTGCCTTGATTTTATTTTTTGGTATGTAATATGGCCAAAGGCAGCAAAGGTTTTGGCTTTGCATTGCGATATCGTTGATAAAACAAGATCTTTTCAAAGTAACCATCACTACTTGAACTTTTTTCTATGGACTTATTGGTTGAGACTTGCTGCAATATGTCCACAGTGACGTAATAAAAATTCAAGATGTATTAAAAATTTTGTTGAGCAACTAGTATTATGTTACAGGGTAGTTCTTAAAAAATAATGCTAATTATAAATACTGTAGAAGTCTCTGTGACAAAAAAAAAAATAGAACAAAAAAAAAACTTGATGCACCATTTTTATTTGATATATAGATACCACACCCTGTAATGTAACTTTCAAAACCAACTGAAGTAGAAAGGCAGGTTATATCAGAAAAGACTGATTTATTTTAGGTTTTTCACACTGAAACATACACACACACGTGTGCCATGTCTTCTAGAATTTGATGTATGCAAGCACTTCTTTCAACAATTTTTTTTATCTCCATACACAGCTATTGTTCCACAACATCTAAATATAACAAGATATATTGATAACTGATATTGATAATGACTGTGCAAATTGAAATCATTCCAAACAAGGAAACATATCAATCATGTACATAGTTTATGGTGATTCACAAGAGGCATCCCCAAATGATACTATTTTTAACCTGATATCCCAAACTATATAGAAAGTACTAGAGAGTATGAAAATAGCTGCGGTGAATGACGTAGGATTCTGGCAAACTGCTGGGAGACTCTGCCAAAAATATCTTGCATTCCTTGCTGTGTGTATGAGCTGTGAGTAGCCTACTTTTGGTAGTGTTTATTTCTGACTCATGGAATTTCTCATTGCAAAATACCACTTGGTTCCTTATTTTTGGCAGCAGGGTATCCCAGTTCATTGGCAAGGTTATTTTGGTAACTGGAAGCACACCTGTAGTTTCTTGTGGATGGTTCTAGTACTTTCATGCTGGAGGAATCCCTGGCTTAGGAATTTCCTTTACTTATTTTGGTTGAAAGGGTATTCCATATCAATATAGCACTTTTAACTATTATAAATATTATGTTTTTCTTATCAATTCTCAAACTTAATATAATCAATGCATTTTCGAAGAAATATTACTTATTCAATGTTTCAGTTTTAAACTGAAATCCAGCCTCTGGTGTACACAAATTATTTTTTTCCATGAAATCTGCCAGATTAAAGTAGGCTCTGCTACTTCCATCCCCTCCAATTATTTTTTCTGTTGTCTGTTTGAAAAGATAAAAGTTGTAACGATGTACCTTTCCAGGAGGTGGAGTTGGGCCCATATAAGCTGAAAAATTACAAAAATCAGTTTAAAAAGCCACATTAGTATCTTTAAAGCCAATGAAAATGTTCTACAATTATTCAATCTTTAGATACGAGTTGTTTGACCATCTTGTCAGAGTAGCTAGATTATTCCACATTGATAAACATCCCTTCTTTTTATTGAGAAGACTAAACAAACATCCATCATTATTTCAACCCATATGTCTTAAAATCCAGTTACAATGATATAAACTATAATGGCCATAATCTTATGGGAGTTTTCTTTTTCTAAAATTTGGTAGCAAGCTTAGCTCACTTTGCACTTGCTAAATGAACAATCAGTATTAGCAAGTGTAATTAAACCATACTGATCTAGCTCAATTATATAAATTTGACTTCTAAGTAAAGGGGAAAAACTGTTACAGATATTAATAACTAAGAAAATCTCAAACTTTGTCTAGCTGATATTGTCACCCCTCCACCCCCTCCCTTCCTTTCCACCTCCTCACTCATTCAACCTTATTTTTAACATTGCCTTATCCAGGTTAATGGTTATCTAAATGTTTACTGCACTACCTGTGTTTTGCTGAGACTAAAAAATTAAGTGACATAGTGCTTGATTTATTGGTGTTTTGTTTGGAATATGGGGCATTTGTATGCAGTATGTGACCATGAGCGGGTACGAGTCCCACCAATAAGACACAAAAACTGTTTCCATTGGCTGCCAGCACTAGCATCAGTTGCATGTTCTCATTGATGATGACTCTGTGCAGTTAATGTGAACCTAGCATGTGATGAGCAGTTATTAAGGAATAGGAAACAAGTACCAGGTCATTTGTGACATCATATATTTCCTGTTTTTTTTTTTTTTTTAATCTTAGTGCTATCTATATTGTTATAAATAGACACAACTGTAAAGACAGAAAAGCAAACATTCAAAATGTTTTTAAAATGTCATCTTACTCAAGTTACATTTTATCAGATTTATTTAAGAGACAACCATTGTAGGATATAAGTGATCTTCTTTCTACAGCAGAATTACGTAGGTATTGCACAAGGCAGCAGCCACTTTTATATACTTGTAATTGCTACTAGGGACCAGTATGCAAATTCTCTGTCAGACATGAGGATGAAACTCCCTCTGGCTTAGCATCCACTCCTTAATTCCCTCTCAGAGTAAGGTTATTCAGTTAGTGTGTGGGCACAGCGTATGTGTGGTCACTGACTTCAATACATTCTAAATATACTGAATGAATGTGTTAATAATGCAGACTTATAATTTCTATTTATGTTAATTATCAACCTGAAATGTTTCCTTGCTTAAAAACATTTCACTTGCTGCTTCATATTGCAGTTGCCAGTTTAGTATAGTCATGGTAACAGGTTTTTGTGCAAAAAAGAAAAAATATTAGCCAGTGGAAGATAAATTTTCTCAGTACAATTATACTTTTTATTTCTTTTATAGAACATGAAGGGTTACATAACAGCACATTTTTCTACAAATGTATTAGTTAGAAAAAAGTTAATTTCTTCACTCAGATGCTTATAATTACTGTACTATTTGCTGTTTACTAATTACATACTTACATGTTAAGGGGAAACCATCTAAAGTTCCTGCTGAGAGAGCCTCACCCTAGAAGAAGAATATATTCACTTAAAAAAGAAAGATATGGTATCCACTTTAAAAAGAAAGATATGGTATCATGTACCAAATACTTTTCTGTTTTAAACCTGCTGAAACAAAAGGTAAAAACTATACAGGGCAATGTATTGTTCTATTTCCCCTTTATCCATGTGCAGCATGTGCTGCAGTACAGTCCATTTTAATTACAACCAGATGTATAATTACTGTATTTTAGTTTTAAAGTGCTTCTGTTATCCAATATTACCCCCACACATTTTTGTTTTACTACTTTAAAATAATATACTCATTTTCATCACTGCTAACTAACAAAAGAGTTTTATGTGTTTTAATAGCAGGGCTCCAGAATTTAAACATTTTGACTATCATGTGATATTTCTCAAGGAAAAAAAATCATCTAATAAACATACCTGCAAATATGATGGTTAAGTAATATGTCATGAAGATTCTATTGTAAAAAAATCCAATGTGTTCCAGTTTATGTGTATTTGCATGAACCATAAAAGAATTAATGAAATCATGGCCATCTTGACAGCATGCAATTTCATGAATGTTCAATTTTTTCAGGAAATACACATGAATGAATCTGTGAAAGTTCTATTAATACAATCTTAAATGTTTCTAAAAATAACCACGGTCTGTAAATATAGCATATTGGGAGACCCGATTTTAACTCCCGTGATGTCAAAATGACGTCTGATGTATTAATTACCCAAATCGATCAATAGCAAACCTTTAACTTAATTCAACATAGCGTTGCTCTATAAATCTACTTTGAAAGTCTTGTATTGATTGGATGCACCAACTCCACCATGGTAATCAATATATTTCTATGAATACATGTTGAATATAGTACCATTTTAGTTTCTTATTGAACTGGCTGTGATGAACTTTCAATAGCAATTTCCCCAGTGTGTCATGAAAGAATTTCTTGGGACTTTTCATGCAGTCATGACAGGAAGGAAGAGACTGTTTGAAAAGTTAAACTTACATATAGTATATAAACAATGGATTTTGCAGCATTCGTAGTTTTGGCACACATTCACATTAAAATTTTAATGATTATGTTATGTTTACTTAAACTAAAATTTGTGGGTAGATATTAACCCATGTGTGCCATAGGTAGTAATTTATTGTGAAAAAGAATCTTATATATAAAATTGTTTGAAAGTTTTGTTTATTGAGGGGCATTTCAATTATGAATGTATTACAGTACTAGTATTTTTTACGAGTTAAAAGATAAAGACTATCTATTAGCACAAAATTTTAACAGATTATAATTTCTTATTTTATTCTTCATTATCCAAAGCCACTGCATCGATCAGACATGCAAATAAAATGATGGAAGGTATTGCAGGCTGAATTCTGAATTCTAGATATTGCAGGCCCTGCCAAGGCATTGCATGTCCAAACATTTCCTGAGACACAAATATAATCTATAATATATTATAAATATAATCTATAATTTATCTATGGTGTTGAGGCCATAAATACATTTTAACTGCATGTTTTCCTTTGCCAAAATTTATTTGAACCTGACAACCGAAACAAAAATCAGTATAAAAAAGGATGAATTTGAAATTATTGTTAGCCCATATGGGCCTATTAAAGCCTTAATTTCATCAATATTGCTGGCATGACTTCACTATATTGCTGTTATAGGGCCAGGAGCCAACAGATTTCACCATAGCTGTTAATCAAAGCCACAACACTGGCAGATCAATGTTTTACTTACATACGTGTACAAGGTATATGTACTTTCAGAGCAAAATTCATTTTTGTCATGCAGCTCTGCCAGAATGGTTAGAAGTATGTCTTTTAAGTTGGGTCAAAGACCTGGTTCTTTTTTTTTTTATTTTAAGTGTTATAAACTTAACTTTTTGCATGAATGTCAAAGAACAGTAGAAAACAGCTGTCCTGCCCAAGAGCGCACTGCCAGAGCTTTACATGATATTTCTGTTGTAAAATTTTCATCAAAAATTTCTGCAGTTTTCTCATCGAAACAGTGATGATGGTAAGTTGTATCTAATGTCTTACACTATTTGGCTCCTTTTTGGTATTTTTATTGTATACCATTAAGCAGTGTATCATCAATCGCACGCAAATTATAGCAGCCCCATTTATTTGTATCTACAGAAAGCCCTGATATCTGAGACCTTGGATGAATAAAATGTTTTATTTTGTCTAAGCTACGATGAAAATTTGCCAGCCAGAGCACCTTTCTGTCCAGGGAGTGATGCTTAATTTTACAAAAGGTAGCCCCTTTTCCAAGACACCATATTCTATATCTTGTCTCCCTACAGGCAACAGATATTACTACAAGTTCTGACAGTAACAACTAGCTGTTGTATTCCACTCTATCCAATCAATCCCCAGAAATAATATACTATAACAGTCCTTTTTCACTTTTGAACAGTTATCTACTACATTCCCAATGTCTCTTTTTCTCTTCTGGGCAATCAGCTACTATACTTTCATCATAGCAACATATGAACAATTTATCAAACAGATCAAGTACTTCTAACAAATTCCATTTGCTACTTAATCAGCCTTTTTCTATTTACATTAACAATTTTTCACCATTTTCTGTAGATGTTACAGTCTGAAAAATGCCAGCGTGACCCTGCATCTAGTTAATATTAGGTCAGCTATACACAGCAGCAAACTGTTAGTCACATAAAGTGAGTACTATTGTTGCTCTATCTACACACACACACTTATGTATATATTACACTGAGTGCATATAGCACATGCTGGCAGAGACCCAACTGAATGTGTGCGCACTGCTTTCTTGGTTGATGTCTCAATCTTAGACACAAATTAAATTCAATTAAAAACAGTGCCAGCATATAAACAGAAAAAATTAAGACACAAAAAGTATTCTGAAAATCTGAATATTCTCACTTTATGGAGAACAAATTAGAGAGTGGAAGGAAATTACATAGATTATACTAGTGTATGTTGCCATATCTCCTAGGTATATCAACCTCAAGGTCAAATCAAAAGAGAAGACATGTATTATACACTGCAGACATGTATATTCAATAGATCTACAGTAAGGTTAGTTACATGCAGCAAATTATTCAGGGCTATAATAAGAAAATAATCAAAAATGTGGCAGTAAATAAGCAAGAGAAAAACTGCAATTGTAGATTGCCAAATAAGTGTCCTCTGCAAGGGGCATGTTTTCTAGCAACAGTGTGTTTCAAGCAGCAGCTAGAAAAATGAATGTATGAAGTATATAGGCCTTTGTGGTGGGCAATTTAATGTAAGATTTAACACCTACACTAAATCATTGAGGGACAAATAATATTTAACATAAACTAAGCTATCAAAATATTTTTGGAAATTAAAAGAAAGTAACATTCAATATGACATAAGGTGGGACATCATCAATAAATCTGCAACACAAAGGAGGAACCTTTAGACGAAAAGCTGTTAATTATGCTTATGCCAGATACTCTTAATAAAAGATCAGAAATTATAGCCATGTGCCATTACAAAGTGACGCAACTGCCATGGCATGCGACACAAGTGACGTTACACTGTTGCAACTGGTTGAAATATAAACACCTCTTGACGATAGAACATACCCGATGGGTATATGTCCTTGAAACTCAGAGTTGAGGTTTAGACATGTCTCAGGTTTAAGGTTTTTTAGTTGTATATATACTAGCTGATTCCGTCACATCAATCATTGAACCATGATAAGAGATTGGTATACACGATTTACAGAATCACTTTAGATACTATATTCTGTGTGAAAGTCTTATTCCCACACTTGCCCTGAGTCAAAGATTTTGTGCCTTTAACAAAAAGAAAAGAAAAAAAAAGGGACTGAGTGGGTATCAAGTGGGTGTTTGGCAGCCGAGGATGTTAATTACCACTGGGCCACCAAATCCTGCAATCTGATGTGTTATTGACTGTATATGATACCTGTCACACATGCCGAAGCTTTACAGAAATTGCTGAAAACTAGAAAATGCCTTCAAAATATACTTTTAACAGTTATCATCATATGAATTCACACTACAGCCACTATCTTCCCACTGCCCTAAGGTATTGCTAACAGCTGTCAGTTGTCAAAACGTAAAAAAGAGACTTCGGCTGATCTGCTATTATATATATATATATATATATATATATATATATATATCAGAATCTTATCTCATTTATTGTGTGAACTGAATTAAAAATCATATCATTCCATGGAAAAAGCCCATGCCTGATTTATGGTTCCAAAGAAATATTACAAATCATCTCAAGCAATATATCTATAGGAAAAAGCCAACTGGTATATCTTCTGAAATGGTAAGGGAAAGGAGGTGATGGTTTTAGTAAATCCTAGTTGTGGTTAAGTGATTTCTTTATTCAGCAGTTTAATTGTATAACATATATGAGGCCATGCATTGTCACCAGTCCCCCTTTCAGCCTTTTAATGATACCGAAAGAGCATCTGGTTGCATTTTGTCTTTAAATACTCGTTTTCTTTTATTGACTGAGGCAATATACTTCTGTTAAGTCAAGGTAGCATGGCCCATGTCAGTGCTAAAACAAGGTGAAAATGTCAAAATATACATGCATAAATTGTACAAATCATATCAACAATTACACTGAAAATCATGTTCGTACATTCCTACGTCATTCTGGTTAGCACTCATTCTTATCACAAATTAACCACTGCAATTGGGATATACTATCATCTCAGTGCATTAGAAGTTCATGTCAGCTAGTCAAACAAAACAATTTTATGACATCAGAGCCATAATTTCCTATACTTCAACGTGAATATGTCTATGACATGACGTCAAAGGATATTGATCTGTCTTCTGATATAATGCATGGTATGGAAAATGAGGCTCTTATATGAACAAGATCATGTTTATTATGAGCATGTGCACAAATATACATACAGTTGATCCCCAAAATAGGTGAAATTATTGACTTATTTCCTGTGGTAAAATATTCTAAAGATATATAATGCAAACTAA